TGTGTCCAACAGAATTGCTGAGATTCTAGACAGTACCAACTCAAGTCAATGGTACCATGTCTCATCAGACCAAAATCCTGCTGACTACTGTTCTAGAGGGCTACCAGCTTCTAAGTTAACGGTTAAACACAGTTGGTTTACGGGTCCTTCATTTCTATATAGCGACAAAGAATCATGGCTTGTTCAACCAGCGAACGATCAAGATGTTGATGGTACAGATCCTGAAATCAAAATATCCTGCTTTGTAAAGACAAACAGTGGAACCAACCAGGAGTTCCCTCTATCTTCACTCAAGATCAGAAGTCTTGTGTCACCGGAGAGATTTTCCACATGGCAACGGCTCCTACGCCATACAGCATGGCTTCTCCGTGCACTTAGAAACTTCTTGGTTCCTGTAAAGAGACTACAACTTACCCCTTTAACCTCATCACATCTTCTGCCGGACGAATACGAAAGTGCCTTACTTCATTGGACGAAACAAGCTCAAGTGGATGGTTTCCCAGCAGAAATTGGCTGTCTCAACAAACACAAAGACTTGCCTGCTGGTAGCACTCTTCTTCCTCTGACACCTAGCTATGATGAGCACCACCTCCGTCTTCAAGGAAGACTACGAAAGGCTAACGTTCCACGTGATACTTGGCATCAGATTATCTTACCTAAATCACACGTCATCACTGATTTGCTCCTTTTAGATGCTCATCTGAAGACCTTTCATGGCGGTGTGGAGCATATGGTTGCACAGATTAGAGAACGTTTTTGGCCCATTTCAGTCAGACAAACGGCTAAGAAGATCATTCGTCAGTGTTTCCTCTGTAAGAAACGGCGAGCCTCACCAAAGGTACCAAGAATGGCAGACCTTCCAAGATGTAGGACAGACTACTCTGGTCCATTTTACCACACAGGGGTTGACTACTTTGGCCCCATGTATTCAACAGTTGGTCGTAGAACAGTAAAGCGATGGGGTTGTTTGTTCACCTGCATGTGTACAAGGGCCATACATCTTGAATTGGCAGAATCATTGGAGACCGACGACTTCATCCTCGTCTTTCGTAACTTCATAGGCAGACGAGGTCACCCGAAGCACATATACAGCGATAATGGGACAAACTTTGTAGGCGCCAACAACGAGTTAAAGGAAGCCTTGCAAGATCTTAATCAACGCATTGGAGAGTACCTAGCTCCTCAAGGAATTGAGTGGCACTTCAACCCCCCTCTCAGCCCGCACGTTGGTGGTGCCTGGGAGAGGTTAGTCCGCTCCACTAAGGCTGCTCTTTATACAGTAATAGGCACCAATCCGGTTCCTGATGTTGTCCTTCGAACCATCCTGATCGAAGTGGAAGCAGCTTTAAACAGTAGACCTCTCACCTACAACAGTTCCGACCCAAACGATTTTACCGCATTGACTCCTAATCACTTCTTGATAGGCAGAGCGGATTACAGCACTTCACCAAGTCACGTAGAAGACAAGGAAGTCAACAGCAGACGACGCTGGAGACGGGTTCAAGTAATTGCCAATCATGTCGTAAATCGATTCCGCAAAGAATATTTACCTAGCCTAAGTTTACGGAACAAGTGGAAAGTTGACAATCCTCCGCTTAAAGTGAATGACCTTGTACTTCTCATTGATGATGCTTTGCCAAGAGGATCAAGGCTTCTTGGACGGATTATTGAAGTTTACCAAGGCGACGACAACAGAATCCGATCAGCCAAAGTAAAGACTCCAAGGGGAACCTTTGTCCGCCCTACAGCAAGAACTGTTTGCTCGAGGAAGATACCCAGAGTCAAGCTGAAGATGCACAAAATACCTAAAGACTTTATCGGATTTTAAGTGACTCCTGTTGGATATTAGATAGTGTCTCTAAAGTATGATGTACACTGTAGTTCGATGTACCCTGTAGTTCAGATACAGTCTCCAAACCGTGTTTACACCGACTGTAGTTTGGGTGTAGTTCGTCAAATGAAGATGAATTTTACGATATATCCATCCTGAAATAACAAAAAAAATGAATATATTGTAAACAAGCTTTAAATATGTGGATGCGATAGACTTCGTGATAAAAAATGCAAGGTACACATTGGCAATAATAAGATCCAATTTTAGTTTTTAGTTACACACTGTTAACCATCCCAAACTTAGTCTGCCTATCTACAGCTAGCTCCGGCTGAGAATATCTGGGAAGTATGACGTAGATGGGTCGCTGCGTGCAGTATGACTGTTAACCACCTATAGATGTTTTAATGACAATAAATCCTAAAATGTATTCAGCTCGACGTAATACTTAAATATAGATACAGTTGGTTTAACTTGAATAGAGATTTTAATTATCTATGCTGCATATATGCATATATCACCTTGCAGCTGAATCACATTACATATCTTTTTAGTTGATGTTCATATCGTCTTACGTATTTGTCAACATCAAGGTGAACTTGCTCTATTGTCCGATTAGCCTATTCAGACTTGTTAGCACGAATTTACTCACCCCACCCTCGCATAGTTATGAATTTATTGTTTCACTTGACTAAAGAAACATTTTGTAGGAATGTATGCTTTTATAGATTGGACATTTGTCTGCGATATCATTGTCGGTGGAAACTGGTACTATACCTAAAGAATGATTGAACAAATAGCGGAGACGGGGTTTCAACCGGCTGATTTAAATTATTTCTTTAAATACAGCTTGAAATATGTCAGTTTTCACTCTTTAGAATGTTTTTGTAAATAAGTTTTTATTGTAGTTTCCGTGGCGTATTCTCAATAAGCGTTAGAAAAAAAGATATACACCCTTAATCCCGGTGCCGATAAATGTTGGGTTGTGTGGAACATGCTAACAAATCTCAGGTACGATATATGTTTGATTCTGGTTGAGGACAGCATCAGAGCAACATGATTGTTTTCATTGAAGATGAGACGCAAATATTCAAAGGGGTCAGACAAACTCTAAACCAACCGCTTTCCCTTCACTGAGTCCCTTCAAAGGAGGCCCTGTCTGTCTACCTGTGGAATAACATGCATTTGTATCTGTTAAATTTGTGTGGTAGACAGATTGATATTATTTATACATAGGCGGGGAGTGATAACGTCTTACCCCAAACAAATTGCAAAAGAAACCATGAAGTTTCTGAGAGCGATATTTCGTAATTAGTGTGTTTTAGTGGTGGGGGAATAAATAATTTCTTTTTAAATTTTTCAAATACAAAGTGGTCATAGAGGCGAAATGTGCCGAAAACCGAATTTGACAAAAATCAAAAAATGTATTTTTCACATGTATGGCGCCGGGCATTTCTTTCAAAATGACTGTCAAATATAAAATAGCATTTTCCGACAAGACCAGCGATAATCTCGTAAGATATGACTTTTACTATGTCTATTAAATGGTTTTCGACGTCTCTTCAAGGTCACCGTCTTCCGCCGTGAAGTAGATGTCAATATGGTTATGTGTAAGAATATTCAGTTCAATATATTCACGGTGTATGATTTTATTCATACTTCAATTTTAGTGAGTTAATTCTGCAACGTTTTTAGAAAAAATTGCTATTAATTTGGCCAGTACTGTATGTTAGTCTCGAAATGACCTAGTTTGTGTCGAGTGGACGTTAAGCCCCATTTCTCCCTCTCTAATATAATTAATGTAAATTTAATATAGAAAATACTGATTATTATTACTGTATATTCATAAAGTTGTATAATTGCTATAGATACCCGAATCGGTTAGTGCTAAATGATAAGGCCAGCTCAATTTTTCGTCATAGGTCACGAGATGTCAACAGGGCTAGCGCTAATCCCAACCTTAAACCTAAATCCTGGATTTAACCTACAATCTCACTAACAAGCACCTGCCCTAACCTTATTTACATCTCAGCGACCTTGACAAAAATTCAGCTGGCCTTAACAAATAGATTTAGCCTACCCGAATCAGTCTTTTGAACATTGACATGGAATCAATCTTGACCTTTTATCCTTGTCAGCTGGCTAAACGTCCTTCATTTATTTTCATACATGACTGGGGAATTGGATGGCCGAACAGTTAACGCGTGCGCGCTGTATCATAAGGTCTGTCATTGAGTCATGTGGCGAGGTTTCGATTCCCCGGTTGTACGTGACAAGGAGTAGGGACGCCTGTCCAACCTCATAGGTTTTCTCTGGGGGACTCCTCCGCCCCCCCCCCCCACTGCTATAGAAAGCTATATTGAAATGAAACTGAACCCTATGTTAGTCCCAAATTGACCTGGTTTGTGTCGAGTGGACGTTAAACCCCATCTCTCTCTCTCTCAAAACCGGTGATCAGGTATAATATTTAATTTACACTCATGGGCGTAAATATTAATCCAGCATCCGAAGGGGTATCATTACTGAAAGAAGGCCTCCAGTCCATTACTGGTGGGGAGCCACGGTGAATAAGTGGGTAAGACGCTGGCTCGATAGCCTGGAGGTCGCGTGTTCGATCCCTGCATTGGCCGAGAAAGTTCATCGTGATTTTCCGACGTGGTTTCCCCATGTCAGTGGTGCAGGACGGAGGGTCTGACAAGGACAGCTGTCTCGTCGTTCGGATGGGACGAAAAACCGAGTCCCCGTGTACACAGTGGCGTGCACGTTAAAAATCCCTTGGCAGTTGGAATTCGATATAAGAGTAGGTTATAGTTCCGCGGCCTGGGCAAATTTTCCCTTATAGCACATTATGACGTATGCCCATCTTCATTAGCCCAGTCGGGGCAGAACAGTAGGACGTTAAATCCCATTTCCTTTCTATTACTGGTGGGCCTTTATTGTAGGTCAACCTCGTAGGATTTCTATTTTACATTCGGTTTCCCCTACTGCTAAAGAATTACCCTACGCGCAAGCTAATTATTATTGAAATAAAATTGAACCAAATGTTAGTCCCGAAATGACCTAGTTTGTGTCGAGTGGACGTTAAACCCCATCTCTCTCTCTCTCTCCCTTTTCTTTATTGTAGGTCACTCCAACGTACTCTATATTTCCAAGAAACTGGGTTAACCGCGTATCGAGTCAAACTAGTCATAACGTGACATCTGGCAAAGTGAAGAGTGTTGTTTGTGTTCTTATCATAAATAACTCGCCAGGTCAGCTTTTTCTTAAAACACAAAAATGGCTCAAGAATCTTCGATTCCAGAGTTAATCACCAAGAAAAGAGATGGTCAAGAACTGTCTAAAAGGGACATCGATACATTTATCAAAGCTGTCATTACTAAGAAAGCCGAAGATGTCCAAATTGGTAAGTGACTGTTTTCATCTTGTAAACTTAAATATCTTCAATTTTGTGACCGGCTATCTTAGTTGAAAGTATGTCATTGTTTTTTGTCCCCGATTTTATGAAGCTGTTCTATCATTGAGTCATTTGGCGTGGTTTCGATTTCCCAGTTGTACGTGACAAGGAGTAGGGTCGCCTATATAACCTCGTGAGTTTTCTCCGGGTCCTCCGGTTTCCTCCCGCTGCCATAGACCACTACGCGGAATACGTTGGCTCACTAACCTCAAGGTCGGGTGTTCGATCCCTGCATTGGCCCAGGAAGTTCATTGGGATTTTCCGACGTGGTTTCCCCTTGTCAGTGATGCAGGACGGAGGGCCTAACAAGGAACAACGTATAGTCGCTCGGATTTTAGGGGTGAATGGGTGGCCGAATGGTTTACGTGTACGCGCTGCATCATGAGGTCTGCCATTGAGTCAACTGCGTCGTTTTGATTTCCTGGTTGTACGTGACAAGGAGTAGGGTCACCTGTCCAACTTCGTGGGTTTTCTCCGGGTCCTCCGGTTATCTCCGACTGCTAAAGACCTCCATGCGGAAGCGAGTATTGAAATTAAATTGAACCATATGTTAGTCCTGAAATAACCTAGTTTGCCCCCCTCTCTCTCTCTCCCACTCTCTCTCTCTCTCGCTCTCTCTGTTGATTTTATAAGCGTCCGATCATCGTTAAACACGGCTTTATGTTATATATATTATTTTTATGGCCATATTTAGGGGCTTTGAAGGAGTTTAATGAACGCAAAATATTTTCGCTCCGTAAGCCAGCACTTGAAGTTTCGACAGTTATATTTCTGAGTATTTTATTATGTCCTTATAATAAAATATATTTCTTGGAAAAGGAATAACACTTCTTTGAAAAGCGGGGCACATTGTATCATAAAGTCTGTCATTGGGTCAAGTGGTGTTCTTTCGATTTCCCGGTTGTACGTGACAAAAGGCAGTTGTCGCCCCTCCCACGTGCAAGCGAATTATTGAAATATAATTGGATCAAATGTTAGTCCTGAAATGACCTACTTTGTGTCGAATGGACGTTAAACCCCACCTCTCTCTCTCTCTCCCTCTCTCTCCAATTACAAAAATATATAGGCCTACATGTATATTGATTATATGGTAGCCTCTTGTGACACGGTCACGACCAAATTTGTAAAGAAGACGTATTTAAAACTAAATTAAAAAGTGCCGAATTTTAATTATTACAGATCAAAATGTTATAGCCATCCTTGATCCGAAAAAAGGTTATTTGGAAATTGAGACAGGCATCTTTAAACAGTTAATACACGGAAATAGTGAATCATATGTAAACAAAGAACTCAAAAATACTTATGTCACCATGACTGTCTATTTATAAAGAGTTGTGTATGCACCACTGTATTGTCGTTGTCATGTATTTGAAAAACATAATTCACCTCATACTGCACGCAGCTACCCATCTACGTCATACTTCCCAGCCGGAGCTAGCTGTAGATAGGCAGCCTAAGTTTGGGATGAATTCACCTCAGCTGACTAGTGGATTAATCGAGATGTTCAATAATTTATTCATTTCTTTGTCAACACCTCCAATAGCTCGCAATATTTTAAAACTGCTTTGAAGGGCCTGACAAGGACAGCTGTCTAGTCGATCGGGTGTGACGAAAAACCGAGGCCCCGTGTACACATTGGCGTGCACGTAAAAGATCCCTTGGCAGTTGGAATTCGATATAAGAGCAGGCCATAGTGCCGCTGCCCGGGCAAAATTTCCCTCATAGCACACTGTATAGTGTAAGCCTGTCTTCGTTAGCCCAGTAGACGCAGAGCAGTAGAACGTTAAAGAGAGAGAGAAATGGGGTTTAACGTCCACTCGACACAAACTAGGTCATTTCGGGACTAACATATGGTTTAATTTTATTACAATAATTCGCTTGCGCGTAGGGGTCTTTAGCAGTGGGAGGAAACCTGAGGACCCGGAGACCCTACTCCTTGTCACGTACAACCGGGGATTCGAAACCACGCCAGTTGACTCAATGACAGACCTTATGATACAGCGCGCACGTGCTAACCATTCGGCCATCCACCACCCCTCCCCCCTAGACTAGGCGCTGTTCTTACAATGCCCCCATCCTGAAACTTTCTCGGCCAACAGGTACTGGTATGGAAGAATAGCGTTGCCAATATTATTTCAATATTCAAGGTGCAAAAATGCATATGTCAGCAGTTCAAAATACGTATTTTAGTTTTACAATTTGCAGTTTCCATTATTCCACAATACCAATGTCACAGTGTTAAAATACAGAATATACTTTCAATAATACAAAATACAGTATAATAATTATTTTGCACATTACACTTCTCCGTTCTGCATTTTGCATAATAGAACTTATTTAAAAGATACCTTATAATGTGCAAAATAACTATTCTACCGTATTTTGTATTATTGAAAAGTGTGGAGCGATGAAAATTGCAAATTGTAAAACTAAAATACGACGAACCTCATTTGCATACGCAAAATAACCGGACTAGGATGGAAATTAATGAAATTTACTTTAAGCACCTGGTTAGTGAACAAATTTTAAAAATCGGTGTCAATGGTGATTTGTGGCGTATAAATGAACCCGAATAATTCACTTTGATCAGTTACAACTACAATACTACGGCTATTTTATTTTTCTGCATGGCATAGGCGCCATGCTGCATTGGCCAAGATAGTTTTCCCTTGTCAGTAGTGCAGGATGGAGGGCCTGTCAAGGACAGCTGTCTAGTCGTTCGGATGGAATGAAAAACCGAGGTCCCGTGTACACATTAGCGTGAAAGTAAAAGATCCCTTGGTAGTTGGAATTCGATATGAGTAGGTCATAGTGACGCTGCCCGGGCAAAATTTCTCTCATAGCCCGTCCAGTCGGAGCAGAACAGTAGGACGTTAAACCCCATTTCATTTCATTTCAGGTGCCATGCTAATGGCTATGTATTTGAAAGATCTAACAACTCTTGAAAGCAGCCACCTTACTCAAGCTATGAAAGATTCTGGAGAAACATTAAGCTGGCCAGATGAATGGACTGGTTTGTTAGTAGATAAACATAGTACTGGTGGTGTTGGTGATAAAATCAGCCTAGTGTTAGCACCAGCATTAGCAGCATGTGGTTTAAAGGTAATTATCCTTGCAGGGGCGTACATAACGATTTTGTTTGGGAGGGGGGGGGGGGTGTTTAGCCAAAATGCGACCGACTGATGCCCATACCCCTAGTACGAGTGACGCAGTCAGGAGCCGAGCACCACAGGTGCGAGTTTTGTAGGGGCCATGTGCAGTAGCGGATCTAGATAGGGGTGGGGGGTCCAAATCTAGGGCGCCACCCCAGCCACAATTCCACCCCACAATGAATTTCAACAAAATACTGGCTATAACATTAAGCGTCCCGGTAGAACATATTGTATAATTATATAGTTGTTTGCCGATCGTTGTCTCGCTGGAAAGCAGTTTTATTTAAGTTGACATAAAGTTTATGTCATATATGATTGTGCCTATAACACTGAGCAACCTGAGAAAATTTTGAAATATTGAGTCAATATCTTGGCATTTGAGGTCATTGCTTGGAGAAATTCTTGTGGACGAGAGGACCAGAAATGTGAGTCAATTAGACAAAATCTCGAGATCTACCCCTGTCAATTCCGCCTGTTTTGCAAGAGTTGACAGAACTTTTGTATAGCCTGACGCCCCACGACCCACACACCAGTGCCAGTGGTACTACACTGAAAAAAAACTTGTGTTGGATCTCAACACAAGTACTTGTGTGAAAATTATTCTACACAAAACTTGTGTTGTTTTGCATTGCATTAACACAAACTTGTGTTCTTTTTAATGCATTAACACAAATCTTGTGGGTTTTTTCATATAATTAACACAAGTAATGTGTACCGTCAACAAATATTTTTTTTTTAAATTTGAACTCCATACAAAGTCTTAATCCGGGCGTCCACAAGTATAAGAAAAGTATTTTTTACTCAGACATGATGGCCAGACAGACTTGAATGCTAATTGGTGTTAAGATGTCTGTAGTTAAAATAAAGTTGTTGATTTTTTATGGGCCCAATAAACTGGTAGATCAAAGGCCTATTGAGCGCTCATGCCCGGTGTGATTTTAACAATTGACTCCAAATGCATTGACAAGAAAATAAGTAAAACTATTATTTAATGTGATTGGTTGATAAAATCAACGTACTATAGGCTACAGTTTGTCTGCGATATCATCTCTGTGCAACCGGACATTAAATGAATTGATTTCACACAATTCATTTACCATTTAACAGCGTGCTGAAATGATTTTTGAGCAGTGATATGTTTGACAAATGTAAGCTAATGGTCACAGAGAATAAAAGACCGCAGGTTTGTGAATATTTATATAAAAAAAATAATACCATTTATTTTATGATCAGTAGTGGAATACCGCGTTTTATCAGTGAAATAAAAGTGTTATTCCACTGGCTAGTTGTTTTTACCTAAAATGATTGTAAAATCATAAAATAAATAGAACATTACGCATTCGTGAAAATATAAGTTTTCTTGCTTCTCGATGAAATAAAATATGTTATTCACTCTAAAACGACAAATATCCTCTATGTATGTAATTTAGCATCGATATTGTTTTTGTGTATAATATTAGTATTTCGTTTCCTTAAAAAAAACTCCAACAATTTAACCCGGAAGTTCATGTTTAAAATGGCGGGCGGGGACAGGGAAAAAATTTCGGCATGTTATTATCAAATCTGTTCAATTTTTCTGAAATCGTGCTTAATTAACATTAGTTTTTCGGCGCTACGATGTTGTTCAAATACGTACATTACAGAATCACATTATGATTAAACCAGAAACGGCTCGACTTGAACCAGCAGGTAAGAATCTGTTTTGAAATTATATCTTGGGAGGTTGGATTGGATTGGCGGCCATTTTGATTCTTGTTTCATGATTTTTTATATTATAAAGATCTTGCCAAGAGTAGACATAAACGCGGGCACAGACTAGAAAAAATCTTTTTACACTTTTGTGTTAGTTGAATTGTAATCTAATTTATGTTTAAAAAAACAACCTTAAATCAAATAAGCAGATATTTTCCCAAAACCCTCCGTTCAACCTCTGACTCTGTGGAATATTATTAGGCCCCTATTTTCCTGATTCAGTCACAGTTAATAAATAATAAATAATGGAACTAGAATCAGTCTGTGGAAGTTCAAGGACTCCATTTTGGCATTGAATTGGAATTTGAAGAAAAACTGGTAACAATTTCATTTAATTTTTATATTTTCTATTTTTTTTTTTTTACCAATGTCCTACAATGATTAGTGTATGTGAACATACAATCCCAAGTAAAGTATTTATATGACACTTACATGCAACAGAGAGAGAAAAATGACATAAACAAGGCCTTACGTGTATTTGTATTTGAAGAATCAAGTAGTCCAAGCTATGCCTATATGCATACCGGTAATCAACTACGACGACGATTAGCTTTCTTCCGTTTCCACCCTTTCCCTGCACACTGTTCCATTCTACTTAGCCTACAGACGCTAGGTCGTTTCGGGAAAAAGGACAGGTAAGGTTAAATTTGATATGAATAATTCGTTTGCTGGTATAGGTATTTAGCAAACGGAGGAAACCGAATGGCCCAGAGAAAAACTCAAGAGATTGGACAGGCGACTCTACTCCTTGAAATCGAAACCATGCCACTTAACACAATGACAGACCCTGTGATTTCATGTGAATGCATTAACTACTAGACCATTCCCCCCAGCCCCACCCCATATTGAATAAAAGTATGGCTTATTTCAAATATGATATTTACATATAAAGAAAGTAGAGAGACTTCAATCTTACTAGAAAAATACTAGATTACCTGAAATGAAATGGGGTTTAAAGACAACGTCCTACTGTTCAGCTCCGACTGGTCTAATGCAGTGTGCTAAGAGAAAATGTTTGTCCGGGCAGCGACACTATGGCCTACTCTCATAGCGAATTCAAACTGCCAAGAGAACTTTTATGTGTACGCCAATGTGTACATTGGATCTCAGGGGAAACCACTCTGAAAAATCAAGATGAGCTTTCTCGGTCAACCCCAAGAGGTAACCTGTGGCCTCCATGCTAGTATTCCAGCACCTAACTCACTCAGTCACCATGGTCGTCTTCTAATTACTGCGACATTGAAACCATGTGACAAACAAGGATTATAAAAATAGATTTTTACGGCTTAGGTAGTTCCTTGGGATTAAAATTTTTGATACATATACATGTAGATACATTAGTTTCAATTTCAAATCACACAGTTTGTATATATGGTATGGTAGCTTTAATGGTAAATTACATATAATGTATTTATTTTTTCAGTTTCAATATTGGATGTATATGCAAATCACCCAGGAAAAGATCATGTAACAAAAGAAATTATAAAAGTAAAAAAATGGAAGAAGAAATGGCTGGAAAAAATGATGATAGAGCAGCTTTTTCTTGGTGGGTAACTATTCAATTCTTATAGAAAAGATTGCTGTTATGCTATTTTGAAATCTAAAATTCAGTTTAGTATAGTAAAACTGTACACGTACATGTATGAGCACAGACAGAATCTTAGTTATATATGACTGTCTCATCTGTGGCAAAGCAAACCAACACATGAAACAAAACAAATGTAGTTAAATTAACATTTTTTGACTTAATCAAAACTGTCTAGTCAATTTAAGCCAACTAATGTAATACATTGCATATTTTTTTTCAGTTAGCCACCTCGGAAGATCAAGACAGCTGGAAAGGGCTATTGATATTGTGGAAGTGTTTTCTTACAGAGGTTGCTTATCAGACAAAGGCTATGTAAGTACCATGCATATTTGCTTTTTGAATCAGGAACTGGTTCTATACACTTGGTGGGGGGTGGGGGTGGATGGCCGAATGGTTAGCATGTGCGTGCTGTATCATACGGCCTGTCATCCTCGGTTGTACGTGACAAGTAGGGTTGCCTGTTCAACCTCGGGGGTTTTCTCCAGGTCCTCCGGTTTCCTCCCACTGCTAAAGACCTATATGACTTCAAAACTATAAGATGGATGCAATGTTACACCCTTTCATAATCATTATTATAAAGCGTTCAAATGCATGAATTTGTAAAATATAATTAATATCATATTGTAATACTGTTTGCAATACTGTATTCACCACTGCCTTAGTGGAGATAATTGGTAAATTAAATGATTATTTTTTCATTTTGTCTTTTTTTCAAGACTTTTGTTCTGGCTTCTGACCCATTGAGGCATAATAATCTACCTGGGTCTGTAACTTGAAAAGACACAATAAGTATTATGCAAAGTTGAAACAAAATAGAGACTCAACGTGTGGAAAAATAAGTTATTTATTTAAAAATTGTGAACCGTAGAAAGTATATTTATTGCCAACTCAACCACATACTATCATCCAGGGTTTATGGACCTACTTATAGTCCAACCTTCGACGATGGGTTGTATGTTCAATCTAGTTGGAGGTGTACGATTGAACATAAAATAATTCAATAACTCACTTCTCTTAGTATAATCTTATATTCTGTAACAATATCTAACAAAGATAATATATACATATAATACTGACCCACAGGATAGGTAACTTAATAAGGAACAGCATCTAAGAAATAACTTGTCACTATATCAGAGACCTGCCCTTCAGTATGTCCTCTGCCTGCCTGTGGTTAACTGCCCTTTTCTTTAATATACATTTTTAGGACTTTTATACCTTAGCTTTGTTTTTAGTTACAATATAATCCTTAATACCTTACTGGAATAACTTTACAATAGATAATAATTTATGAAACAATGTCTCTCTAATATAATTACAGAGTTTATTTTAATTAGGATTCTGGCTAATCTATAATGGCTCTGGCCTCAAATTAACTATGCTCTAATTCTACCTGGTCATAATACTTGAATATTAAGCCATCAAATTATTTTATAATTTTGAAAATGAAATGAAATGGGGTTTAACATCCTACTGTTTTGCTCATAAACTGGGCTAATGAAGACAGGCATACACCGTACAGTGTGCTATGAGGGAAATTTTGCCCGGGCAGTGGCGCTACAGCCTACTCTTATATCGAATTCCAACTGCCAAGGGATCTTTTACATGCACGCCAATGTGTACACAGGACCTCGTTTTTTTATCCCATCCAAACGACTAGACAGCTGTCCTTGTCAGGTCCTCCGTCCTGTATCACTGACAAGGGGAAGACACGTCGGAAAATCTGGATGAACTTTCTCAGCCAATTCAGGGATCGAACACCCGACCTCCAGGCTAGTGAGCCAGCGTCGTACCTTCTTAGCCATGTGATCTCCTTATAATTTTGAAAAAGAATATAGTGATTGTAAAAGCTAATAAGTTATCAGTTGCATTTTATTTTTGTTTTTAATGTTAAATATCCCTCTCAAACACAGTTATATTTTAATTCTCTCCAGAAATTTGTGTAAAATATAAACTGTAAATTAAAACTTTCATCTTTTAACTTTTGAATCAATTTAAGTCATCTAATACATAGTATGTTTTTTTCCAGTTAACTACATCAGAAAGATAAAAACAGTTGGAAATGGCTATTCATATTGTGGAAACTTTTCTCACAGAGCTTGATAATCAGGCAAAATGTAAGTAACATACATATTTGTATTTTTAATCAGGAAGTAGTTTTATACACTTGCTTGGTAATCTAGTTATTCTTCTTGGGGCAATGCCTAGGACTCAGCTATTTCAAGTACTTGGCATGCTTGATTTTTGCCAATCACATCCATTACAGTAAATAGCAGTAAAATAATGATGGACAATATTTTACTTTTCAAATAGATTTCAATAGATTTTAAAGGGTAATATCCAATTTGTTGTCAATGGAAATAAAATAAGAATGGGTCCAAAAATAATTAGACATTGCCAAGTAAATAGGTGCTGCCAATGATGTAGTAGGGAATCTGGATTTGCAGACAATACATGTATGAACCGGGTGAATAGTTGACCTATTATGAGACTTCAGTCCCAAATCTCAAGACTTTTTTCTGACTTGGCCTGACAAAGACAGCTGTCTAGTCCTTCCGATGAGACGAATATTGGAATGCACGTAAAAGATCCCCTGGCAGTTGGAATTCGATATAAGAATAGATGATAGTGCCGCTGCCCGGGCAAAAATTCCCTCATAGCACACTGTGTGGCATATGCCCGTCATTATTAGCCCAGTCTAGGAGCAGAACAGTAGGACGTTAAACCCCATTTCATTTCATTTCATTTTTCTGACTTTTAACCCATTTGATTTGAGCATAATAATCTGTCTGGGTCTTTAAGTGGACAAGACACAATAAGCGTTACGCAAAGTTGAAACCAAATAGAGACTCAGTCTCGATGTGGCAAAATAAATTGTTTATTTAAACATTGTATTCTTATTGCCTACTTTTTATTTTTTAGGCTGGAACACCCTTGAAAGAGTATTTGGTGTATGATAACAACAAGAGAACCCAAGCATCAATTTATTTTATACTTCTGGGAAAGAATGCATTTGACCCAATTTTTAAATATTTATTTTTTGTTATTAATGTTAAATTTTCTTCCAAAACACAATTAGATTTTAATTCTCTTCAAATATGTATGTATAATATAGCAAGTAAACTGACATATAAATCACTTAGAATTTGGTCGGAAATCATAAAGTATTTAATAGGCATTACTAGAAACCAAATGTAGATCAAATACACCCAGAATTACAAAAAACCTTGACCTACATTAAGGTGACTTTCCCTTGCTTATGAAATGAAATACGTTTTAATATCCTGCTTTTCTGTGTTCTTAGAGTGATTCTACCCTACCCTTATATCAAATATTTCAACTGTCAAGGGTTCTTTAAAGGGTACCCAGGGGGGCCGAATGGTTAATACGCACACATTTGATCAGAAGGTCTGTCATTGATTCAAATAATTCAATTTTCAAGGGTTCTTCAAAGTGTACGCAGTTAGGTTGGTTTCAATTCTGGGGGGTGGACAAGGAGTAGGGTCGCCTGTCCAATTTTGTGGGTTTTCTCCGGGACCTCCGGTTTCCTCCCACTGCTAAAGACCCTTACGCGCTAGCGAATTATTGAAATAAAATTAAACCATATGTTAGTCCCAAAATGATCTAGTTTGTGTCGAGTAGACGTTAAACCCCATTTCTCTCTGTCTCTCTCTCTTTTGATTCTGGGCTTGTACCCAATTATCCCTTGCCATATCCAACACTGAAAAGTGGGAACTATGCCGGAAAATCCAGTTGAAATTTCGCGGCCAACGCCTTATGCTCACTGAACCACTGTGGCTTATGACTTGTGATTGTATATAAATCTTTTGTACATATGATATTTTTTTATTTCAATCCTGTAATCTTGAAGCTTTGCTTCTTTTATTTATAAAATATTCATTTTGTTTGGGGTTTTTTTAATGAGGAAAAGGCTCTACATCATTTTATTACTCCTGCAAAATAGAGCAATTTTCTTTTGTTAGTTTTCTGTGTATGCTAGTTATTTCTAGATGCCTCACAAATCACTTGTAGTGTGATTTTGTAGCATTTTTCAGTTTTTGAAATTGTTTCAATTTAGTGCATAATTAATCTTATTAGTGCTTAGTTTGGATGTTATTAAATTTAGATATATTTGAATTATATATTTTGGGGTATGGGGTAGGGATACTGTGTACATATCTTTATATTCTCAGTTCTTGTTTTGGGGTAAAGAACAATTTAAATAGCTATTTTATATTTTGTGATGGGTAAAGTGTGTGGGGCAAAAAACAATTTAAATAGCTATTTTATATTTTGTGATGGGTAAAGTGGGGGGGGGGGGGGGAGGGGTCATTATATATAACACAATATAATTTGTATTAGAATTGAAGTCTCTGTTTTTCTGTTAACATTTCAAATATCTATTTAGTTTTGATGTATTAATTTACTTTTTCCTATGATTTTATGAATAAATAATAATCTTACAAAATTTTTTTTTGTTTCCTTCTTTTATCAAACTTTACAGGTCTAACAGAGCAAAGAGAGGGGTCCTGCATAGAAAGGTTGCTATGCTGGATATAAATTGGGGAAAAATACAACACAAGTTTTTGATGATGGTTATACACAAGTTTGTATGAAACCACACAAGTTTCAGAAATTTCAACACAAGTTTCAGAAATTTTAACACAAGTTTCAGAAATTTCAACACAAGTTTCAACACAAGTATTGTGTAGATTTCACACAAGTTTCAACACAAGTTTTGTGTTGTTTGATACATTTTAACACAAGTTTTGTGTTGTTTCAACATTTAACACAAGTTTTGTGTTGTTTTAACACAAGTTTGTGTTGTTAAATAGAGACACCTAACTTGTGTTGAATTTAACACAAGTTTGTGTTCTTTCAACACAAGTTTTTTTTCAGTGTACTAATATAACTAGGCAGATCAGTATAACCGTGAATATGATAGTGCTGAGACAGTATAAGACAACAGGGGAGTGGAAGAATGATGTTATATACTGGTGATAATATTGTGAATTGTTGGTATTTCCTTCTTTCAATATATCATTTGTTCATTATTCATTCTTTCATTTAAACATTTCTATTTTTCTTATGTTTCTATTAATCCTGCGTTGTTAATTAGACGTTAAGCTACTTATCTAATGACAGACAGTTGACAGCTGACACATTAATAGATTTAATTACTATCTTATTGTTTATTTTAAATGAATCCAAATTCTCGTTAACGAGAGGATAAGAAATGGGACAGAATCTTGAGTCCTATCTGTCAATATCGCCTGTTTTGTGAGAGTAGAACTAACAATTCTATACAGTCTTTTGACCCACGACTCACTCACTAGTGGTACTACTAACTGGGCGATTCACTGTAACTATGAATATGATAGTGATGAGACAGAGAGGGAGTTGAAGAATGATGGCATAATGGAATTGAGCGCCGATATGTAACTGAGCTTTTAATTTTTGAGGACTGGGCCTGAGGGCACTTTACCGCAATGGGGCGCTTACTTGGTCTCTGAAATGCCCTGGACTTTGGAGAGAGATTTTGCAGAATTCTGATGGTCAGAAATCACCCCATTATATCATTTAGTCTGAGACCGACTGCGGTGAGCACTTTTTTTTGAGACCGACTATTTTTTTGCCATGGGGTGAAAAACATTTTTTTCAAACATGATCAGTTGACAAGGTTATTTTATACTAAAGTTTTGCGTGAGTAGAGTGACGTGTGCAGTGTGCACTTATTTTGATACCGACTGCTCATATCTTACGACCGACTGCACGGATTTTGCGACCGACTAGTATTTGGGATCTATTCTGGCATTATTTGTTTACCTCATTATTTCATTAAGACGGCGATGCATAATTTTGAGACCGACTGCAGTGACTGCACTTATTTCATTAAGACGGCGATGCATAATTTTGAGACCGACTGCAGTGACTGCACTTATTTTGAGACCGACTATTTTCCTACCTGGGGGAAATTTTGTTCTTAAACCTACATACTCATAACAGAATAAGAGTGAAACACATCATTTTTTCAAACATGATAAGTTGACAAGGTTTTTTTATACTAAAGTTTTGCGTGAGTAGCGTGACGTGTGCAGTGAGCACTTATTTTGATACCGACTGCTCTTATTTTGCGACCGACTGCACTGATTTTGCCCCCCCCCCCCAACACCCACCCCCCACATTTACGCCCCCGTATCCTTGTACAGGAACAATACCAACCATAATTGAAACCATCTCACCACCTGTGTCATTCTATTGGCCATATTCCAATGGTTAAATCTATTTGATAAGGCCAACTTCAGGTTTGGTTAAAGGTCACGAGACGTAAACAACAGTCCTAATGCTTACCCTAAGCCTAACCCACAATCTCGCCAACAAACATTCTTTCTAACTCTTTTACAGGAACAATACCAACCATAATTGAAACCATCTCACCACCTTTGTCATTCCATTGGCCATAACCCAATGATATCCTTATGTATTGTGACAATCTGATTTCGTTTCGTTTTTTATAGTTCAAAATTTCGTTTTACTTGTCTTTACTACACTAGGATTTGGGAGAGTTCTTATATAAGCGGCGTTCTAGATGATGTGAGGGATTAGCCAATGAAACGGTCTGTTACGGCGAATTTTTGGCGTGAGGTAAACGGAACTGTGGGTAACCCACTAGAAACATCAACGCTGATTGGTTAATCAAATGTCTGACGTCATAGGGCAAAAAGCTGCTAGTGTGACCTCTGACACGACCTTCCACTACAACTGGTCAGATCTACATGTAGTGTAGACCATCGAAAGTATAAAAAAACGAAACGAAATATAGATCTGGGGCCTGTTTCACAAAATTTTAACTAAGATAAAATCCAAATTTTAGTAATTTGATTGGATAATATTACATTGATTTTAGTGCTAAGCCAATCAAAATTGAAGTATCTACTAAAATTTGGATTTTATCTTTAGTTAAAATTTCGTGAAACAGGCCCCTGTATTTTGTTCAGATTGGTATTGTGTGAGAGATAACTCTAAATATAACGCCACGTATTTGAATAATCAATAGGACTTGGGAACACTCTTTGTTTTAACTTTACAATCCTTACATAGGAATTCAAAGGTGGGCTATTTCCTTATTTACATCTTCGCTAGCCAAGATTTAAGACTCGTTTCTCTTCTCTTCACCCTTGGCAGATCTCGGGTTACGAATCGCTTCTCAACTCTTCACACTTGGCAGATCTCGAATACATTTTAGAGAGAAGCAAATCTTAATACTTAGCTAGCGAAGATGCTTTCCAACATACGTATAACAAAACGATTTTGGTTGACTTGCGATGATGTCTATGTAAGGGGTGCAACTTCGATATATTACCAGGTGGCATTGCGCGCGAACTCCAAAATGTATTCGAAATCTGTCAAGGGTGAAGAGAAGAGAAGTGAATCGCACTCGGCAAACCTCGGCAGATTCCGTTACTCTACATCTAGCCTCGGCTGTATGACGGTAAGTGATATGTGCCTACGCCTATACAACTGCGATGCGGCGCCGGTTTACTTCTTAGGAAAACTTGCCGCTTTTAAAAAGAAAAATTGCGTCGCTCGAAGCGTGTGTAGAATTTTTAGTGCAAAGTTGTCCTTGTTTGAAGAAAAATCGGATAAACTTGAAAGAAAAACATCTTTAGACTTTGAAATATTTGTATGATAAAACATTCTTCAAAGGGGTCGTCATCCGGGAACTTGAAAGTAGTTCAAATGGCGGATTTCGTCATATAGCCGAGGCTAGATGTAGCTAGGGTACTGGAATCTGCTGAGGTTTACCGAGTGAAGCGAATCGTAGACCTTGGCTAGCGAAGATGCCTTATTTAGGGAGACCCAATTCCTTGAAATCTCGAATATTTTCCAATTTTCGCAACAAAACCCAGATTGTTTCAGTCTCCTGTTTTACGATATTTTAGGTACCAATGATATCCGGAAGAGGATTGGCACATACCGGTGGTACATTAGACAAACTGGAAGCAATACCGGGATTTCGGATTGCCATGGAACCAAAAGAGATGACAGACATACTCAGGGATGTTGGTTGTTGTATGGTTGGCCAGACGGCTAATCTCTGTCCTGCAGACAAAATATTATATAAATCACGTGATATAACCGGAACTGTTGATAACCTTGGATTGATTACAGGTGAGGTGGAGAGAGAGAGAGAGAGAGAGAGAGAGAGAGAGAGAGATGGGGTTTAACGTCCACTCGACACAAATTAGGTCATTTCGGGACTAGCATAGGGTAATTAGGGTTCAATTTGCGCGTAGGGGTCTTTAGCAGTGGGAGGAAACTGCTGAAAACCCGGAGAAAAACCACGAGGTTGGTGAATATTTATGTCTAAAGACTCCATAGAAGGTTTCGCTTCAGATGGGGGGGGGGGGGAGCCCATGCTCCGCCCCATGGCCCATGCTTTCTAATACTATGTTATGACAGTATGACAAAATGATCCAAGGACCTTTTAAAACAATTTTTGATTCCTCAAAAAATATATCGTGCAGCTGAATCATCTAGGTATGACCAGTGTTGAAAAGGAGTGGGGGGGGCAACAAAAGTCTCGCACCAATACATTTTTGTTTTTCCTCTCAAGGGCCCTGGCTTCAGATATTGCTTCCTCGTCTGCAGAGCTGTTCACGTATCTCGATAATGCTGAGATTTTTAGTTTCAATTTACATGTAGGCCAGTGATTCTCAACACAGGTGTGCCGCGAGATCTTCTTAGGTGTGCCGCGGAATTTTGAACGGCACACTAAGAAAATTCGAAAAACCACACGTGATCCAAATTGAGTATTCACTGGTGTCTACTGATACGTTCATGGCTGTGTTTTCTTTATTTAGTTTGAGTCATTCTATGTATCTATGACTAGTCTGTGTCAACGGTTATATGCCGTCTGGCTTATCATGTTTTAATTTTGCAAAATTCCAATATTTTTCATATATATTTAGCCAGGCGTGTTGCTATTTTTTCATGTGTTCCAAGATATGCCGTTGGCAAAAAAAGGTTGAGAACCACTGATGTAGGCTATAGTTATCTCATATCCATCCGCCTTCTCTTACGTAGACTTTTTTACATTGCCATGTTTAGTACCAATCTTTATGGCCGTTGTAAACCAGAAAATTAAATTTGTTGTGAAGATAAAGCGACAACGATGTTTATTATTTAGTGATTGTACATATAGCAGGGGCGGATCCAGAGGGGGGGGGGGGACAAACCCCACCCTGCTCAGCTTCACAAAGAGAGAGAGAGAAATGGGGTTTAACGTCCACTCGACACAAACTAGGTCATTTCGGGACTAACACATGGTTCAATTTTATTTCAATAACTCGCTTGCGCGTAGGGGTCTTTAGCAGTGGGAGGAAACCGGGGGAACCGGAACCCGGAGAAAACCCACGAGGTTGGACAGGTGACCTTACTCCTTGTCACGTGCAACCGGGGATTCGAAACCAACAGCTACATAAAAAAAATTGTAAAAAAACACTTTATAAGAAAAGTGTAAGGGTCGTGTGCTTTATCCATTATCATCAGATGGTGGGACGGGATTGGCATTCAAAGCGCGTAATAATGATACAGACATGCGTGATATCACAATTAATGCTTTGCGTCAATGAAAATGCATTACAATGTAATCGTATTAATTATTTATAAAAATTGACATCAAACGGGGTGTTGGATTTCTCTCTTTAGCTACATGTAGCTCAATATGTATATACGTAATTTAGAGACGAAGATGGCATCGTACATTGTCAACACTCAACTGTCAAATGTCCTTAACAGGATCCCAGCAGAAACCCTCCTGCAACAATTCCTGGATCCGCCCCTGTGATTGTGCATGTACGTACTGTATTTTGACTTTTGTATAGTTGGCCAGACGGCTAATCTCTGTCCTGCAGACAAAATATTATATAAATCACGTGATATAACCGGAACTGTTGATAACCTTGGATTGATTACAGGTGAGGTGGAGAGAGAGAGGGGGGGGGGGGGGTAAGTCCACTCGACACAAACTAGGTCATTTCGGGACGAACACGTGGTTCAATTTTATTTCAATAATTCGCTTGCGCGTAGGGGTCTATAGCAGTGAGGGGAAACCGGAGGGCCCGGAAAAAATCCACGAGGTTGGACTCAATGACAGACCTTATGATGCAACGCCCACACGCTAACCATACGGCCATCCACCCCCCACCCCCCTTAAACATAAAGTACAGAAATAAATATTAATGTTTATTAGACCTAATGGTGTCAAAGATAAAATATGTTCACATAAGCATATATACATTCTCCGAAAGTACATATACATATTATGTATGGTAAAATTTAATTTTTTGTACACGTTATTAACATCTGAAGAGGTCTATAGAGGGCAGACAGGTAGCTTATATGATTTAAAGGGACAATAACACTCTTGCTGGCTTGACAGCGCCAGAAAATAAAAAAAATAGCCTTATTCTAAGTACTAGATGTGTTAGTGTCCTACCTGTTGTGTAAATTATCCATTAAATCCTATTTTACTTGTCCAGAGGGTTCAAAAATATTTTTAAATCCAAGTAACATTTGAAAAGCTTTACATCAGGCTTTTCAAATCATTTAGTTGAATTTTTCCAATTTTTTAAATTAGGTGTGTTAAGATGAAATTTGTATCATCAATTAATTGGAATATTGTATAATAGTACAATTTGTTGACCAGAATAAAGATTGGGACATATTAGTCAGTTACAACAAGAGTGGTATTGAACCTTTAATGTATGTCAAAATGAAGTAAAGTGTTGAATTATTTACCTGGACGTATTTTTTATTTCTTTATCTACCGTAACCATAAAAGAACTTGTACTTTATCAACTTTAAACATTATGACGTCACATTAATAATGAAGTCACATTGTAATAATCATATTAAACATACATTACGCAAGAGCTAAATCTGCCTATTGCAGGTCTTTCTTCAAACTGCACGCAGCGATCCATCTACGTCATACTTCGAGAATAATGATCACTGCACTAGTTAGCCTCCATTTAAAACGCTCACGTGAACATTTTGGGGCCGGACTTATCGACTGGACTACAGCTTTGTGTACACATCAGAGTAAAAATAACCCGATCAACTAATAAATAAATAAATTAAAGGTCGGCCTCCATTTAAAACGCTCACGTGATCATTTTGGGGCCGGACTTATCGACTGGACTACAGCTTTGTGTACACATCAGAGTAAAAATAACCCGATCAACTAATAAATAAATAAATTAAAGGTCGGCGGGTTCTCCAACATGACCATTTCAATACGGCAGTAGCTTATCTTAACAATAATCATATTGATGTTGGTAACAGCGGTTAGGTCAAAAGGACAGCAGAGATTTCACTCTTTGTTACACAAGCACGTGTTTTATGTAAACACATGTCATAGGCAAAATGTCAACTTCTGCCATTCCGGTAAAAGCGATATATAATATGTGCTAGTGGGTAATATTGTAATACACTCTTTGCCATTGTAAACTGTTTTTAGAGTTTCAATCTGTTTATCTTTCAAAACAAGGTTAGATACTCCTAAATTTGTCTTCGCAAACAAAACCGCCCATGTGAAGTTATCTTTCATGGTAATCATGGGCGCCGCCATATTGAATAATTAGAGGACAATTTGGTGATTCAGCTTTGATTAGTTTGACATCTTTCACACACACAGCGGCTAAATAAACATATTTAATTTCATTCAATATGACAATAGAAGAGAAATAAATACCTCTAAAAATTACTAAAAGCATACTCAGTGTTTTCAACTAAAATCGTCGATGTAGGAATTAAAATGTCGGGTAATTAGCTTAGGGCCTGTTATCAGGCGGAGCTAGCTGTAGACAGACAGCCTAAGTTTGGGATGTTCTTTCTTTAGGCATGAAATGTTATCTAAATTATTAATTAGAAATGTAATCGTTAGCCTGCGATGTTTATTGGATTAGGTTCCGATTTGCTGTTCAACTTCCATTCATGATTTAATCGTGAAATGGATAATCGAGACTATGTTTTTTTTATCGTATCGAAAATTCAATCGCTAAAACCTCGCTTCAGTGTAGATCAATTTGACTTTACATTATCTATTTTTTAACTTGTATAGGGAGAACTGCCAGCTCTTTATCTAATCTTCCATAATGTACCTTTAATATATATATTTAGCATCCATTGTTTCCAAGAAAGCTGCTGAAAACCTCAATGCTCTAGTACTGGATGTGAAGATGGGGAAGGGTGCTTTTTGTGATGACATGAAGAAAGCTACAGATCTTGCTGAACGCATGGTAATCTTATTATTATTATTGTTATAAACATATGGTAAAATGAAATGAAATTGGGTTTAACATCCTACTGTTCTGTTCTGACTGGGCTAATGACGAAATGTATACTTCATACAGTGTGCTGTAATGTTAAGGTTTTGCGAGCGTCTGATCGGTCCTCATAGACACAAAACATGTGCTGATCGCTTCATAACTTTATTACTCACTAAAAACCCGGCAAAATATGCCTACGTATATGATCATGTATGTGACCACGTGACCACAGTGAGGTTTAGCCCGTTACCCTCGATATGGTTAGACATAACATGTGCTATGAGAGCAATTTTGCCTGGACAGCGGCACTACAGCCTACTCTTATAACGAATTCTAACCGCCAAGGGATCTTTTTACGTGCACGCCGATGAGTACACGGAACCTCGGTTTTTCGTACCATCCGAACGACTAGACAGCTGTCCTTGTCTTGCCCTCCGTCCTGCATCACTGACAAGGGGAAACCACGCCGGAGAATAACCAAATGGTCTTTATCATCGAATCCAACCTCGTGGGTTTTCTCCGGGTCCTCCGGTTTCCTCCCACTGCTAAAGACCCCTACGCGCAAGCGAATTATTGAAATAAAATTAAACCATATGTTAGTCCCGAAATGACCTAGTTTGTGTCGAGTGGACGTTAAACCCCATTTCCCTCCCTCTTTATCATCGAAATCTTCGTGGTAAAAACGGGTCGTCTGATATAATACTTTCAGTTTTCTGGGGAATGCTCACTAGTCTGCGGGTCATTTCTCCTCGGGTTCATTACTCCACCGATATCTATTATAGGGGTTGGGTTAGGGTTAGAGTTAAGGTACACTAGTCCGCGGGTTCATTAGTACACCGCTATCTATTATTAGGGCTAGGGTTAGGGTTCATTAGTACACCGCTATCTATTATTAGGGTTAGGGTTAGGTTTATTGATACCCATATTTATAGTATTTCTTATAGCGGCGGACTAGTGAACCCCTCCCAGTTTCCTTCAGGACGTAGATCCCCGAGAAATGCTGCCATCTTTTCTGAACATGATTCGGGCGCGCTGAAGTGAAGAAAATTCATTCTAGTAATTTGACCAATAACCATTTTTTTTGTAACATCTTTAGGTTAATGCAGGGAAAGGTATGGGAATAAAAACATCAGCTTTGATAACGGACATGAACTCGCCTATCGGTTATATGGTAGGAAACGCGCTGGAGGTGGCAGAAGCTGTGGACTGTCTTCATGGTAATGGTCCTTCAGATGTGACAGAATTGGTGGAAAATCTAGGTAAGTCGACCAGTTTGTTTATCAAATTGCATACCAGTGTCGTCCATTGATATATACCTTAGAGACCTTCTCAACACCAATACACTTTGCAGAACCCTTCGATCACAACCTCTTAATTAAGTCTTTTTCAAAAAAGCAACTCCGGTGATAGGTCTTTCACAGAAGTTATGGAATTCAATATCAAACGAAATCAAAAGCGCAAATGCTATTAAAGTTTTTAAAAAGTATCTTAAAACCAAACTTTTTAATCAAATATAAATTTGATTGAATACGGCTCTAGCTGTGTTTGTGTCAGACTTTTACCATGTGTACTAAATAATGTTCTCTGTATTTTGTTTATGTCTTTTTTTTATTGATTAATGTGTTGTGATTGTTGTAATTTTATATTAGTTGTACTTATGTAAAGCGCCCGAGAGCAGCTCGCTGTGTTGAACTGTCGGCGCTATATAAATTTATTATTATTATTATTTTTATTATTATTATTATTATTATTATTTTTATTATTATTATTATTTTTATTATTATTGTTATTATTATAATATCATTACTATTAATATTATTATTATTATTATTATTATTATTATTTTATAAATATTATTATTATTCTTTGCGAATTTTAAGTGTGTAAGATTTACTTTAACCTTAGTAAAAAGGGTAAGCGGTATCACGTTTTATACTAACCAATTACGTGGCCCAGTGCATAAGGCGCTGGCTCGCTAATCATGGTATAGTCGTTCGTATGGGACGAAAAATCGAGGACCCGTATATACATACATTGGCGTGCACGTAAAAGATCCCTTGGCAGTTGGAATTCGATATAAGAGTAGGCCATAGTGCCGCTGCCTGGGCAACATTTCCCTCATAGCACACTGTATGGTGTATGCCAGTCTTCATTTACCTATACCTTTACCTGGAAGATTAGAACGGCATTGTCTTTGCTCCTTCTTTACCATCTTGAAATACTTGCCCTAAACCATATCCGAAATGACAAGGAGTAGGGTCGCCTGTCCTACCTTGGGGATTTTCTCCGGGTCCTCCGGTTTCCTCCCACTGCTAAAGACCACTACGCGCAAGCGAATTATTGAAACAAAATTAAAACCATGTGTTAGTCCCGAAATGACCTAGTTTGTGTCGAGTGGACGTTAAACTCTCTCTCTCTCTCCCCTCTCTCTCTCTCTCTGTCTCTCCTCACCATATCCCAAATTCATTTTTATAGGTGCAAAGTTATTGGTATCTATGGGACGTGCTGCTACAGCTGACGCTGGTCGAGAACGTATCCGCCAAACGTTACAAGATGGCACAGCTTTGGATAAATTTTGTTTGATGGCGATACGTCAAGGTGTTGATGAAGCCGTAGTAAAGTCTTTACGTGAAGATCATTCTAAAGTATTACCAAAAGCTAAAATACAAACTCCGATCAAAAGTGTGAAATCAGGTAGGTACATATACATAGGGTAATTTTGACTAAATCTATTTGTCAAGCCAGCTCAATTTTTGTCAAGGTCGCTGAGATGTAAATAAGGCTAGGGCACGTGATTGTTGGCGAGATTGTAGGTTAGGGCTAGATCCAGGGTTAGGGTTAGGGTAAGTGGTAGTCCTGTTTACATCTCGTGACCTATGACGAACAATTGAGTTGGCCTTATCATTTAGCGCTAACCGTACACACATAGGGTAATTTGCGGTGTCTGTGATTCTACCAAAACGACGGGGGATCACGGTGGCTAAGTGGGTAAGACGCTGGCTCACTAGCATTGGCCGAGAAAAGTTCATCCAGATTTTTGGGCGTGATACCCCCTTGTCAGTGATGCAGGACGGAGGGGAGGGTCTGGCAAGGAAAGCTGTCTAGTCGTTCGGATGGGACAAAAAACCCGAGGTCCCGTATACACATTGGCTTGCACGTAAAAGATCCCTGGGCAGTTGGAATTCGATATAAGAGTATTCTGTAGTACCGCTATCCGGGCAAAATTTCCCTAATAGCACACTGTAGGTGGGTGTATGCCCGTCTTCATCAGCCCAGTTCGGAGCAGAACAGTGGGACGTTAAACTCAATTTCATTTCCCAAAACGGCGAACGGCAAAGATAGGGATAATACGACTTGATGATCGGGATTCCTTTATTTCCCGCGTGTTTTGTATTCTGCTATAAAAATTGGAACTACCGGAAAATTCACAACGAAACCATAGATCGTACATAGTACAGTTCTATGACGAAACGAATAAATTCTCTGTGTTGATAACACGAGAAGGCGTCCATTTTAAATACCATTTATAGACATGTCTTCTCACACTGATCAGCAGTGAATTTTTCGCTAGGCCGCTACAATCACTGATAAGGATGTTATCGATGCGACTTAATGAGCCACAAATATTAACTTTTTTCCTGCGACAAATTAAATTCTAAAACATTTTTTTTATGTATTGGAAAAATAAATAAAGGCGTTTGACTTATTTGTAGGTAAAAATTATTTCCTATTTAGTGTAAATGGGTATTAAAATGACTAAAAGGCAGCATTCCGTCCGAAGCAGTAATGTCTTATGTAAACAATGCACTCGCCATTCAGCCAATGATTGACGCCGTGTGCTGTGACGGCACGTGTTAAGGCAGTCATCTTTGACAGAGATATTACTACTTGACTCGTAATTCTCTGTGAAACAGATTGCCATCAACACTGATTGGTTAATCAAATGTAGTATAGATTTGACCCGAATTCTTAAAAAGGTTACGTGTCCGGATAAGCAGTTTTGACATTCACGTCCAAACGATTCAATATTTTGAGCTGAAAGTTTGAGACAAGGTAAATACACCATCCCTCTATATTTTGGCGTTTAAATTTCATACGTACTCAGACTTTTATTTTTGAGACTCTGTTCACATCGGGATAGTCCCTTTAACTATAGCGAGAACTGTCAACTCTTTATCTAATATTCTATAATGCCCTTTAACTAGAATTTGAATATTACAGGAACCGTTTGCTCTATTGATCCTATGGTCTGTGCCCAGTTTGCCCAGTCAATGGGAGCAGGAAGATATAAATCAGATGATATTCTGAAACTGGAAGTTGGTTTACAGCTGCTCGTCAAAGTTAATACACAAATAAAAGAAGGTAATATAATTTTTTTTTTTAGAAAATACGTAAAACATATTTGCAAATGGTTTGCTGTTATATATAGGTAATGATTTTTTTTTAGAATAGGCCTACGTAAAAAAAATATTTGCAAAAAGTTTGCTGTGATTTGAAACCCAACCATCATATTCGTGACAGAGAGAGAGAGAGAGAGAGAAATGGGGTTTAACGTCCACCCGACACAAACTAGGTCATTTCGGGACTAACATATGCTTTAATTTTATTTACATAATTCGCTTGCGCGTAGGGGTCTTTAGCAGTGGGAGGAAATCGGAGGACCCGGAGAAAACCCACGAGGTTGGACAGGCGCCCCTACTCCTTGCCCCGTACAACCGGGGATTCGAAACCACGCCAGTCGACTCAATGACAGACTGTATGATACAGCGCGCGCACGCTAACCATTCAGCCATCCAACCTCCCCCCCCCCCCATATTCGTGACGCATGAGACTCAATCTCGATGCCAGACATAAATTTACCCTTTGTTCTTCTCTGGTAAAACTCGCCGGCCATTTTGAATGTCACGTGATGTAACCTTCGTTTGCTTCACAAAGATCTAAGATGGCGGCTCAAACTCGCTTTTCCTCAGAAATTTCACATATTTAGTCGAATCACTCACATTGTGCGCTAAACCACCAAATCAACTGTTTTCGAATTAACTTTTGATGTCAAGATGGGGAAAATGTTCTAAGGATCATTAATGTGTAACGCGTGCAACGAATTGATGCCTAATTGTCGAGAAATCGGCAGCATTTCATTTTAACAAATGCTGCCAATCAGTAGCCACTGTTGGAGGAGCTTAGGAACCGAATTCACGCTTGTTAATGGCCGGCGAGTTTTACCAGAGATAAACGAAAGGTAACGTTATTTCTGGGATCCGTCTGTCCATTTTCTTGCCTTGTTCAAGAATTGTGCAGTATTATCTATGGCCAGTTTTAACACAAATATAGACGGCTTTTCTCAACAGAAAATCTGCTTGGCTTAAATTATAGATGTTTACAGCCAGGTGTCGACTTTTCGAAATGGCACAACCAGAAGCTTTGAGATTAAAATATACAAATGAAATAAAATTTAATGTCCTGCTGTTCTGTTCCGAACTGGGCTAATGACGGACATACGCTATACATTGTGCTATGAGGAAAATTTTCCCCAGACAGCGGCACTACGGCCTAACAGGCCCGTAACTAAGGGGGGGGGGGGGCGTCAATTTTACAGCACCCCTGAGAACACTTCCCGCCCGCTCGTTGCTCTGAGCTAGTTACGGCTCTGCGGCCTACTCTTATATCGAACTCCAACTGTCAAGGGATCTTTTACATGCACACAAATGTGTACACGGGACCTCGGTTTATCGTCCCATCAGACGATTAGACGGCTGTCCTTGCGGGAAAAAATTAAAATATACAAGAAAGTATTTAATGTATCCATTATCAAATTTTATACTTCAGGTGACCCGTGGGTTATCGTTCATCATAATGATCAACTTCCCGAATCCCAGATTTCATTCCTGAACAGCGCAATTCATGTTGGAACTAGCACTTTAAATACCAGGATTCTTAAAGTTATAGAGTAGCACTGATTTTTTTAATTTGTACAAGATCGAACAAAATATTTTGGACTATTGTCTCGCTTGGTTAGTTTTTTTTTCCATATAGATGTGTTCTTTTATGACGTCACGCAGGTTACCCACAATGTACTGTCCGTCATCTTGAATGGCAATAACCAGTGCAACATTCGTATATGAAATTTTGAAAATAGATATTAAATACCATTAGCTATGTAAGGCCTAATATATACCTTACATAATAATAATAATAATAATAAAAACTTTATTTAATGAGGCAACGTATTTAGTTTGCAAAAAAAAAACTAATCTTCCATAGGTCCCTCCTAAACTACAAAGACATATATACATGTAATATCAGGATAAATTTAAAATCATTAGAAATGCAATAGCATTTTAAAGTGGGAAGTTTGATAAGTCACTCCCAAACTACAAAACATATACATTATACAAGTAGAATATAGGAAGAACACTATAATTACACACAAAATAAAATAGAATGCAGTTGCAAGTTAAAAATAATAAGTATGTCATCAGTTGAATATTATGGTTCCTTCAGTGTGCAAAATAAATGAGTTATTAATATAATTTAATATAATTTTAGAAATCTCTATAAACATTATTCTATGATCTTTGATGTTTATTATTGTCAATTTTTGTATTGTATGCTTTACCATATTCGTGTATATATCATGCAGTTGTGTAATAAAACATTATTATTATTATTACGTAGGCCTATTAGCTACACTCAATTATATAAAACAACGTATTACACAAATAGGCCTGTATGCTTAGGCTATTTTCATTTGTTTGACACTACATGTAGGCCTATCTTACATGTAAGAATTTGACACATATCCTCTAAAGAATATTCTCAACCAGTGTGCCTGCCGCCATATCTTCGTAAGCGTGCCGCGAAATTTTGAATGGCACATTAAGAAAATTTCTCACTAAAGCCAGCTATTTGATGAAATTCGAAACACCACAATATATACTAATGTCGAAATGAAAGTATACACTGTGCATTTCGTCCTGCTTCAAACAAAGTCGTTTTCCAATTGTATGCGGTCTTTGGGTACAATGTCAATTTGCTTTGCTATTTATTTGCTTAGAAATATTGAGTTTGGACGCACGAGACATGTTCAGTGTAGTTTTATCACATTTTGTTGATTCAAACAAAACTTAGTCATATTTTTAGTGTGTATACTTTCTTTTGGACATTGGTAGTCATTCTATGTGTCTATGACTAGTCTGTCTACGGTTTACTTACTGTGTTTTTATTTTGCAAAATTCAAATATTTGTCATATATTTAGCCAGGTGTGCCGCTATTTTGTCATGTGTTCCAAGGTGGGCCGTTGGCAAAACAAGATTGAGAACCACAAATTAGACCCATATACTCATACCAGGGGCGTGGTGACCCATGATTTGTATGAGAAACGAGATTCCACACGGGTCCCCAAAAAGCAATATTTATGTGTGTGTGCGAGGGAGGGGTCCCTCCCAGTGCCGCCGCGTAATATTGGACTGTGTGGAAATGAAATGAAATGAAATGAAATGGGGTTTAACGTCCTACTGTTCTGCTCCTAACCTGGGCTAATGAAGACGGGCATACGCCATACAGTGTGCTATGAGGGAAATTTTGCCCAGTCAGCGGCACTACGGCCTACTCTTATATCGAATTCCAACTGCCAAGGGATCTTTTACGTGCACGCCAATGTGTACACGGGACCACGGTTTTTCGTCCCATCCGAACGACTAGACAGCTTTCCTTGTCAGCCCCTCCGTCCTGCATCACTGACAAGGGAGAACCACGTACGCCGGAGGGACGCAAAAACTCAAAACCATGACGCAAAGCGCGTCATTGCGCCCATCTCACTTAGCTCCTACATCATACCTAAAAATTCTTGTACACGTCTGCTCACAAATCAGAAACGATCTGATTAAAACACAGATCCTATTTCGTTTCGTTTTAAAATATCGTTTTACTTGTCTGTTATAGAACACGCGTTCTGGGTGGCGTGAGGGATATTGTTAGCCAAAGAAACGATCTGTTACGGCGACTTCTTGGCGTGCGATGCAACGAACTGTGGGTAAACCACTAGAAACGTCAACGCTCGTATAACCCCTGACGCGACCTTCCACTACAACCGATCAGATCTTCTTATAGTGTAGGTCATCCAAAATAAATAAAACGAAAAATATATAGTCTGTAGACGCCTAAATAGTCGAGACTAATAACTGTAGTTATATATAGTGAGGGACTGGATATATTTGATAATGTATGAAATGAGATGAAATGGGGTTTAAATAGTATGTTGAAACACTCTACGTTTTATAATAATATCTGCCATTATATATATTATGTTTAAAGGAGCTAAATCGCTAATATTTGGGACCTAGAAATTGACACAAATGGGTCGCAACGCATATAATAATGTAATATGAATGTATATAAACTGATTCATATTCAATCGTTTTTACTCTAATTTCAAATCAGTTATGTTCCACCAAATACGCCAGAAGTCTCAGTCGAATGGAAATCTCTAACGTCTGGTTATTCCAGTCTACACCGATAGTAATTATTGCTCATGCTCTCAAGATAATATGCGTCACCGTTTGACATGACTTGTGGAATAGCCTAACCTCATTCTTCTAAATCTTTGTTACAAATGGCGCCGATACGCATATAATGGTACTGATTCGTGTACCAATAGTAAAATGTTTATTTTGTCTTCATTAGCCCAGTCGGAGCAGAACAGTAGGACGTTAAACCCCATTTCATTTCATTTACACACTGATGTTGGCAACCACCAGGACATTCATTAACGCCTGGAAAAACCTAATTTAGCATTTTTTTCAAAGCAACGGTAACGAGCAGTATCAGCTTATTAACCAGACAGCAGTTATGCTTTTGGTCTGTAAGTTCACTCTTCCACTACAATTGTTCGACTTTATTTCAATAGGGAATTTTAGCAGTGGGAATTTAACCGGGGGACCCGGAGAAAACCCACGAGGTCGGACAAGCGATCCTACTCCCCGTCACTTGACTCAATGACAGACCTTGTGACCTAACGCGCACGCGTCAAACAATTCGCGCACCCAACATAGCTAGTGAGAAAGGCTACTGAGGATCCTACAAGTACTTGGCACCATCGGGTTCAGGGGTCAATTTGGGTTGGAATGCTTTGGCGACTTGGGTAACACCATTTTACGGGACTGTTACGAAAGAAATGAAATGGGGTTTAACGTCCTACTGTTCTGCTCCCAAACTGGTATAATGAAAACGGGCATACCCCATACAGTGTGCTATGAGGGAAATTTTGCCCAGGCCTACTCTTATATCGAATTCCAACTACCAAGGGATCTTTTACGTGCACGCCAATATGTACACGGGACCTCAGTTTTTCGTTCCATCCGAATGACTAGACAGCAGTCCTTGGCAGGCCCTCCTTCCTGCATCACTGACAAGGGGAAACCACGCCGGAAAATCTGGATGAACTTTCTCGGCCAATGCAGGGATCGAACACCAGACCTCCAGGCTACCGAGCCGGCGTCTTCCCCCCCCCCCCCCCAGCGTCTTAGCCACGTGATCCCCCTGTTACGAAAGAACAAAAACCAGGAGATATAAATCAACAATTTAATTCAACAAGGGCTATAAGTCGGTAGAAGTCACTGCTGTAACAGGCGAAAATGATCCGGTTACGGACGAATTCAGGGGATCGCTCAGGGATCCATTTCCATCATTTAAATATCTTCTCCGACGTTTCCGACATTCATAGACGTTAATCAACATGGCGGCGATGACGAGGATGGACAAAACACTCATCCAAACAACCGTGTTGATATCAGAGGCAACGGTGTGTTCTGGCTCTTTACCAACTAGCCGGGTTTCTTTTGGCCCTTGTTCTGGTTTTGGATCGAGTGCAACATCTTGTATGTTACTGGAGAAACCTATATCATCAACATATCCATCAAACTGAAGTTGACCTGAAAATATAACCTCACTAATCTCACATCTGCTATATAAACTTACAAACTAAGAAAATATACGAAATGAAATGGGGTTTAACGTCCTACTATATTGCTCAGACTACGCTAATGAAGACGGACAAACGCTATACAGTGTACTATGCCCACAATAAACGCCCACCAGTAATGGAAATGAAATGAGATTTAACGTCCTGCTGTTAGGGGTCTTTAGCAGTATGAGAAAACCTTTTAACCTATCTTAGTTTATTGTTACTACAGGAAAGACTATGATAATTATTGTTGAGGTTTCATGTTTTATCAATTTTTATAAAGATAAGTTAACATAGAATATACTTAATAACACGGAGAGAGACTTGACTAGAATTCTAATTACTATCCTGTCTTCTCGTTTATTCTCATTTTATTTAATTCAACTATTTACCATGTCTCGTCTCGAACGTACTAACCACTCTTATAAAACTAGAGTGCTCGGACATTAAAACATCAACTTATATTTCAGTGAATTTAACTTACAATTCAACTATTTACCATGTCTCGTCTCGAACGTACTAACCACTCTTATAAAACTACAGTGCTCGGACATTAAAACATCAACTTATATTTCAGTGAATTTAACTTACAATTCAACTATTTACCATGTCTCGTCTCGAACGTACTAACTACTCTTATAAAACTAGAGAGAGAGAGAGAAATGGGGTTTAACGTCCACTCGACACAAACTAGGTCATTTCGGGATTAACACATGGTTTAATTTTATTTCATTAATTCTTGCACGTAGGGGTCTTTAGCAGTGGGAGGAAACCGGAGGTCCCGGAGGTTGGACATGCGACGCTACTCCTCGTCACATACAACCGGGGAATCGAAACCACGCCAGCTGACTCAATGACAGACCTTATGTTCACGCGCGCACGCCCTAACCATTCGACCCCCCCCCCCCCAAATATGACCTAAAGGGCGCGCAGCATTTGACCACCCAACGTCCTATTACATTTGGATAGAGATTAGTATATATACTTACTACTGTCATCGTTAAGACGACTATCGTCGTTAAGAAGTTTCAGTTGAACACATTGATATCCACCATTAGTATTAACACATGTTGTACCAGAACACGGATTATTACCGGTACACTCATTTATATCTGTAATATTACATAAATAAACTCATTTATTTATCTATATATATATTTGTGACTGTCGTTAGTCTGTCTGTTCGGGGTTGGCGGCTACACTAGGTCTGCCCCGAGTCTGAAATTTGGGGTATAGGGGTAGCTTGGACCGGGGAGTAACATAGGCCAGGTGGCGTTAGTTTACCACTTCCGGTTTCGAAGTTATGACCCCCGAGCGAAGCCGGGTATCCTGCTAGTATCTACATAAAATACATATACAGTCGATCCCCCCCCCAATACACTCGATCCATTTTGATCGCCTAACTAATTCTAACCATTTCTATTGAAATTTCAACTGTCGAGGTTTTCTTTTAAGGTGCACTCCACAAATACATCAATCTGATTTAAACACAGATCCTATTTCGTTCCGTTTTATTATAGTTCAAAATTTCGTTTTACTTGTCTTTACTACACTAGGATCTGGAAAAGTTGTTATATAACCCGCGTTCTGGATAATGTGAGGGATTAGCCAATGAAACGGTCTGTTACCGCGAGTTTTTGGCGCCAAGAGGACGGAACTGTGGGTAACCCACTAGACACGTCAACAGTGATTGATTAATTAAATGTCTGACGTAATAGGGTCAAAAGTCGATCGTATGACCGCTGACGCGATCTTCCACTACAACCGGCCAGATCTTCATATAGTAGAGGTCAGCGAAAGCATAAAAAAAAAGAAATAAAGATCTGTATCTTAATCAGATTGTTTTGCCGGGAATAATTTATTAATAACATTTTTTTAATTTAAATTAAGATTGTTTTAAAAACAAACCTTCACAACTTTTCTGATTACTAGATAAAGAAAAGCCATTTTTACATGAACATCTAAATGATCCATTATTGTCTTGACAAGAATGTTCACAGCCACCATTGTTTCTACCACATTCATTTATATCTGGTGTTAAAATACAAAATCAAATATGGCAGGATGAACATCAAATGTACGTGAACCACGGTCTTACTAGCAAGGCGGTCAAGGTTCTACCCCAGTAGTTGGCGTTCACTTGTGTTTTTTTCTCAAACTCTTGAAGGCTATCGGGGGGAGAGAGGGGGTAGAGAGAGAGATAACCCTCGTGGTTGGACTGGCGACCTTACCGGGAATCGAAACCACGCCACTTGACTAAAGGACAAACCACTCCAACCCCCTCCTTCTGGAAAAACCCAGAAAACCCGTTGGTGACGCCATCAAGAGAGAAATGGGGGTTTAACGTCCCCTCGACACAAACAAGGTCATTTCAGACTAATATGGTTCAATTTTATTTCATTAATTCGCTTGCGAGTAGGGATCTTTAGTTGACTCACTGACAGACCTTCTGATGCAGCGCGCACGCGCTAACCACTCGGTCATCCATGTTCCCCCCGAAGCCCCCGTGACGCCATCAAAGAATTTATGAAACCATTAAGTACCAAACGTTACCAGCTGTCTAGAGTTCTTTAATGTGAACACCAATGTTTGGCCCCGCCCAGAAGACTTGGCAGGTACGACACTAACATGTAACTGATGACCATATTTATTATTAGCCCCATGGGGCGATATTGGACGTGGTCTGACTTGGGGAAAGCCCTAGAAATTTTGGTTAGATTTGTGAAATATTTACACTGACTATGGATACCATTGTCCCTAGAAAGTTTCAGCCATGTAACTTATGACCTAATTTTAGGCCCCACGGGGGCTACTTTAAGGTGCTGCTGCGGCTATACGCCCCTGCAGTGCCCGATCTGACCAACTGATTTTTACTCGTACGGATACTTGCTGTAGATTTAGGGGATCAAACCTTTTGTAACCGATGACCATATTTTATCATTAACTGTAAGAGTTGTTATATAGTTAGCTACTTTATGGGTTTGAGATGAGTAATTTGACTTACTTCTACAGTTCCTTTGGTTACTTTCTAATTCATATCCTGCATTACAGACACAATAATAACTCATGAACGTGTTTACACACTGATGTTGGCAACCACCAGGACATTCATTGACGTCTGAAAACAGTTAGAAAACCTAATGAAAATGAAATGGTGTTTAACATCCTAATGTTCTGCTCCAACTGGACTAATGAAGACGGGCATACGCCATACAGTGTGCTATGAGGGAAATTTTGCCCGGACAGAGGTGCTACGGTCTACTCTTATATGGAATACCAACTGGCAAGGGATGTTTTACGTGCACGCCAATGTGTACACGGGGCCTCGGATTTTCGTCCCATCCGAACGACTAGACAGCTGTCTTTGTCAGGCCCTCCGTTCTGCATCACTAACAAGGGGAAACCACTCCGGAAAATCTGGATGTACTTTCTCGGCCAATGCAGGGATGAACACCCGACCTCCAGGATAGCGAGCCAGCGTCTTACCCACGTGATCCCCTAGGTCGACAAGTAGTTAATAAGTATAGCTTTAAATGACTCAGTTGTATATTGATCTGTAGGCCCCATTTTAGTTTGATTCAGTAATAGACTCCGACAAACAAATCGTGCGAGGAGTATTCCCCCCCCCCCCCCCCTGATTAAAGTTCTCAAACATTACGACGTATGGACACAGTTAAAACTGTTAAAGATAAATAATGGGAGATTCGGTAACGAGTTGGCAGTTCTCTCTATAATAGTTAAAAACTAGATAATGTTAAGGCAATTTGCTGAAAATTTCATTCGAATTGATCCACTATAAACCGAGAACTAAGCGACTGAAATTTCACCCCTAGCCTCGGTCATCATTACTAAAGTCAGTACAATAACAGCATAGTCTCGATTATCCATTTAATCGTTAAATCGAAAAGGAAAGTTATGCAGTAAATCGGCTCACAATCCACTAAAGATCGCAGGCCAGCGCTACCATCTAGAGTTGATTATCCTGGATAGGTTAATTAATGTCTAATTAATAATTTAGAAAACATTTCAGGCCAAAAGAGAGAGAAATGAGGTTTAACGTCCACTCGACACAAACTAGGTCATTTCGGGACTAACATATGGTTTAATTTTATTTCAATAATTCGCTTGCGCGTAGGGTTCTTTAGCAGTGGGAGGAAACCGGAGGACCCGGAGAAAACCCACGAGGTTGGACAGGCGACCCTACTCCTTGTCACGTACAACTGGGGATTCGAAACCACGCCAGTCGACTCAATGACAGGTTTAATGATTCAGCGCGCACACGCTAACCATACAGCCATCCAACCCCAAAGGCCAAAAGAAAGACCTGCAATAGATAGATTTAGCTCTTGCATAATGTATGTTGAAGTATATCTCCTAAATATTTTGAGGGCATAGTTAATTAAAGTAAACAATGTTAGATTTTCACCCGATTAGATTTTATTACATACTTCGAGAAGGTATTTGTTGAGTAATAAAACCAAGTAGTTTATCGAGGGCTGGCCGTCCTTACCGCACGGTACAAATATTATCACCACTAGAAGCAATACAAATTCCAGAACAAGCTAGAACTCATACCAAAATGGCCGCTTTATACAAATGAGTATTTAGGGGAAAACTAACTCGAACCCTAAACCTTTTAAGAGAAGTAAAAATTAAATTAGACCCAAGTTCAGTCTTTTAAAAAGGGTTAGGGTTCGGGTTAGTTATCCCCAAAATTCTCATTTATATAAAGCGGCCATTTTGGACTCCGGAAGCACCCGAACCTCGATAAACTACTAGAAGGTTTTATTACTCAACAAATACCTTCTCGAAGTATGTAATAAAATCTAATCGGGTGAGATTTTGAAGCGTAAATATACCTCTTGCTCCTGGTCCTGCTGGTCCTGTAGCACCAGGCGGTCCTTGGGGCCCTGTAGCCCCGGTCATACCAGCAAAACCAGCTTGTCCAGATATTACTATAGGGGGTGGTCGCGTGGTGGTCGTTGTTGTTGTGGTTGTGGTCGTTGTGGTTGTTGCTGGCACATCTTTAATAAGGAGAAGATTCCAAACATTTCAAGAGAGAGAGAAATGGGGTTTAACGTCCACTCAACACAAACTAGGTCATTTCGGGACTAACATATGGTTTAATTTCACTTCAATAATTCGCTTGCGCGTAGGGGTCTTTAGCAGTGGGAGGAAACCGGAGGACCCGGAGAAAACCAACGAGGTTGGACATGCGACCAAGAGATAATTGAATATTTCAAAGCGTGTTTCCACGGAACTCGTGTTCAAATGCTGGGTATAGATAATCATGCACCATTCAATTGAAACACTGTCTGAACTGCAGTAAATTTTAAACAGAATTCTTCGATTATGAACAAACTAATTAACTTTGGTTGTTTATAAACTTACCTGTGTGTTTGAAATCCATTGTACAATTAAAGATACATTATGTAAGATTTAGATAAAGAGCTAGCCATTCTTGTTATAATAGTTCGAAAATAGATAATGTAAAATGAATAATTTGAAAATTTCATTCAAATTACTCTATTGCGAGCGAAAATAATAGCCATTGAAGGTTTGACAAGACGTGTGCAATAATTTCAACCACCGTACTGGTTGTTCGAAGCTAAGTCTCGATCCTCCATTTTTAGCTTAAATCAAAATATGGCTGAACTGTTCCAATCTATTTAATATCGGAGAAATCTGATGCCATCGAGAGTTGATTATGGCCTGGATAAGTTAATTAATGTCTAATTAATAATTAAGAAAACATTTCAGGCCTAAAGAAAGACCTGCATGCCAACGAATAAAAAAGTTCTCGTGAAAAACTTTTAACGTAATTACTTGTAATTTTGACTGAGTTCAAGACAACCCGACGTTTCCCCAACCCCGACTATTTGTAGTCAAGGTATATTTTCATTTCCACTACCAACATTTACAGGTGTCTCCCGAATAGTGCATTCATGATTCATAAACACACGTCGCAATATGTGAACACCCCCTAATAAGATTTGGTTTTAGAAAGGCCCATGCCATGACAATCTGATTAAAACACAGATCCTATTTCGTTTCTTTTTTTATAGTTCAAAATTTCGTTTTACTTGTCTTTACTACACTAAGATCTGGAAGAGTTGTTATATAATCGTTATTGATGATGTGAGGGATTGGCCAATGAAATGGTCTGTTACGGCGAGTTTTTGGCCTAACCAATCTGAACTCAATTCACTTACACCAAAAGCCTAAGCCTAACCAAACTGAAATCACTTCAATTAAATCAAAGGCCTAAGCCACACCAACCTGAACCCACTTCAATTATTGCCGCTAGTGACATCTCGTGGAAATAATTTCTCTGAACAATTGCGATGACGTCGTTATTATTTGGTAGATTACGTAGAGTGTCAGAAAACATGAGACTACCGTTGATGTTAACCTCATGTGTTATGGTTCCAGTATCTTGTTCAAACGTTACTCCAAATAAATCATCTACCATTAATGGTACCGTGTCACTTATTCTGATCTGCAAGAAAAAAGAATGGTCAACATTCTTTCCTGACTATGATGGAAGACGTAGGCCATCTCGAGGCATGGTTTCCTAGTAACTAGACTCATACATTCTCGTTGACACGGGAGCCACGGTGGCTAAGTAGGTAAGTTGGTGGCTCGCTAGCCTGGCGGTCGCGTGTTCGATCCCTGCGCATTGGCCGAGAAAATTCATCGGGATTTTCCGACGTGGTTTCCCCTTGTCAGCGGTGCAGGACGGACGGTCTGACAAGGACAGCTGTATTGTCGTTCGGATGGGACGAAAAACCGATATGACATAACAGTAGGCCATAGTTCCCCTGCCCGGGCAAAAGTTCCCTCATAGCACTTTATGGCGTATACCCGTCTTCATTAGCCCAGTCGGAGCAGAACAGTAAGACGTTAAACCCCATTTCATTTCATTTCTCGTCGACACAGAACCAAGCCTTGTAGCTTTGGAAACCACCATGGACGGTCTGGAAAGTAATTTGAACAATACAACATTGTTTAAAAATTCACTTCGGTTGTTAAATTTCGGGTTCACACTTCCGAATATTTGGAAGAGATAGTCGAGATAAATATAATTGTTATCTGAAGGAGGTAATAAGACGAGGTAATCATTTAACCACATCGACATAGATAGACGTTAGTTTAAATAACAAAAGGAAGTTAACTGATCAACTTTCTACCTCGAGATATGCAAAATCATTACGTTTGCCGAGGTCGAGATAAACGGATTCCACTGTATGTTTTACAATGTATTGTCTTCCGGTAGGATATGCAATAATACCCCGTCTTACGAAGGAGATGGGGAGGGGGGGGGGCTATATACTTAACTAACGCTGTCTGTCTACAGTTAGCTCTGCTTAAGAACAGACACGAAGCTTGTAAGACATTTTAAGTCCTAAATCGCCAATTTTAGTCGAAACCACTAAGCATACTTAGTGTGTATTGAGAAGTATTTATTCCGCTTCAAAATAATGGAATGGAATTGAATAGGTTTATTTAGTCTGCGCGTAGGCTTGATGCGAAACAAAGAATCGCATCACAAAACTATATACTAATTTTAGGATATGGCGGCCATTTAGGACAGAGATCTATTCTCGAAGTATGAAGTAGATGGATCTCTATGTGCAGAATGGGGTTGCTAGTGCCACGCCCAATTTCTGAACAAGCACTTGTTTTTCCGTTAGTGTTAAATGATAAGGCCAACTGAATTTTTCGTCATACGACACGAGATGTTAACAATTTCTGAACAAGCACTTTTTTTTCGGTTAGTGTTAAATGATAACGCCGTCTCAATTTTTCGTCATACGACACGAGATGTAACAGGGCTAGCACTAATCCTAACCATAACCCTGGACCCAATGCTTACCCTCACCCTAACCTACAATCTCGCCAACAATTACGTGTCCTGACCTTTTTTACATCTCAACGACTATGACAAAAATTGGGCTGGTCTTAAATAGATTTAGCCTTTGTTTTTCCTTTCATTTGCGAATGTCGGCCAAACAGCAGAAGTCTTACCGAGTGAACACCCAGTACTTTAGGTAATCTGGCAGCAGTCTGATAGTGTAGACGGTACTCCATGTCGGCCACTCTCTTCCATATGCAAAACCTGGCGTAGTGATCTCTGTTGGTGGAAGGATCTGGACGAATGTACATGGAGAAACCTATAAGTCTGCTTCTAAATGGTATTTTATGATTGGTATCTATAAAAACTCTGTTAGCGTCTGTGAAGGTAAACGCTCTGTTTACTAAAGTACTTCCGAGTAGCATTTCTGCTGCTCTTGTTAAAGAAACAACTGAAAATACATCAACCAGAAAAGATTTTCTAGATTTAAATTGCAGAAGGTTATTATATCATACTGGAATGGGGTTTAAAGGAGCTAAATCGCTAACATTTCAGACCTAGAAATTGACACAATTGGATCGCAACGCATATAATACTGTAATATGAATGTATATAAACTGATTTACATTCAATGGTTTCCGTTTTACTCTAATTTCAAATCAGTTATGTTCGGCGAAATATGCCAGCAGCTTCAATCGGATGCAAATTTCTAGCGTCTGGTTATTCCAGTCTGCATAAGAATATGGCGACGCCGTTTGATCTGACACAATGTGTCTAGCCTCGTTCCTCGAGTCTCTTGTTACAACTGGGGCTGAAACGCATTATGGTACACGATTCGTGTACCAATGGTAAAATGTTTATTTTGTCTTAAATATTTGATATCAGAAACCCATCATTTTCCGGTAAGATCACAGCATCAATGTTGATTTAAATTGATAAATAATTCGTGTTTTCAATGTTGAAGATTTTGGATGATACTGAGATAGAGACTTAGCTCCTTTAACATCACCTCGGTCAATTTGAGATTAACCATTAATGGTTAATATTTGTTACTATGGTAACGTAACCAATATACAAGGGGGTGGGGCGCTATTGTGACCGGACCGGACAGTTTACCGTCCACTCGACACAAACTAGAGGTCATTTCGGGACTAACTTGGTTCAATTCTATTTTAATAATAATTGGCTTGTGCGTAGGGGTCTTTAGCAGTGGGAGGAAACCGGGGGACCTGGAGAAACATGCGATCCTATTCCTTGTCACGTACAAGCGGTTAATCGAAACCACACCAATTGACTCAATGACAGACATTATGGCTAAACCACTAGACCCCCCCCCCTCCATGCCAGGTAGTATGTTATGAGAGAAAATTTGCCTGGAGCAACACACTATGGCCTAAACTTTTTTTTTCTATTTCAAACTGTCAGAGGGTCTTTAACGATGGCAACGGAACACACACAACCTTGGTTAGACGTTTTCCCTTGGCAGCTCCCACGTCCTGTGTTATTGGCGTTCTCGGACAGCACCGTGGTCGAGATAAGTGGCATACTCACAGTGCCACCGTTTATCCCAAAGTGCATTGTGTACAGGGACGAACCCAGGGTTATCGTACTATCCTGAACAAGACATTTCCTGCCAATTATAAGGCTCCCGGCGCACGCCCATCCCCCATTTTTTGCGATGGCATATATTCTCTCGGAAACGGAATTAACAGTCCGTTTAGGTTGGAAATCGTAATTTACTACAAAACGTGTCGGTTGGTGACTTGGTCGATTGCCTATCAGTCCGCTCACCGAGGGCCGGGCAGCACGCGCCTCCTTTCTGAAAATCCTCGATCCGCCCCCGATCAAGACTACAGAAAAATCTGAACTAACAGTTTGCCATTGCTGATTTTCAAAAGGGCATTACAATGGCTTACTGTACTTTCTTATTTTATATACTTACATATTAGTGTATAGAGCAATGGCAAGAGTGTAAAATAGTCCATTGTGGTCACCGTCTAGTATCTTTCTGGTCAGTGTTTATATATGTAGATTACCGGATATATATATCTGAATTAAATTTAAAAAACAAAATGGTAAAGGAGCTAAATCGCTAATATTTGGACCTTGAAATGGACATAAAATGTATAAACTGATTTACATTCAATTTTTTCCATTTTTATTCTAATTCCATCAGTTATGTTCGGCGAAATAAGCCAGAAGAGTCAATCGAATGACAATCTCTAGCGTCTAGTTATTCCAGTCTACACCGATAGTATGTTTTTGCGCATGCTGTCTCCAGATAAGAATATGACGTCAACGTTTGACACAACTCGTGGAATATGTCTAACCTCGTTCTTCGCGTCCCTTGTTACAAATGGCGCTGGGACGCATTATGGTACACAATTCGTGTACCAATGGTAAAATATTTCATTTGTCTTAAATATTGGATATCAGAAGCCCATCTTTTTCCCGGTAAGATCACAACATCAATGTTGATTTAAATGACAAATAAGTCATGTTTTCAATGTCGAAGATTCTGGATGATATTGAGTTAGAGACTTGGCTACTTTAAGGCATACAAATGAACACCAGTAATACACTAATCCTATTTTGAATTTAGTTTCAGAGATATAAGGACACAAAACAATATATTTCCCGGGAATTAAAATTCCAAATGGGATTAGTAATACACATCTAAAAACATCCATAACTTGAACTGAACTGTTTTGGTTTGGAAGAGCATGTGAATATACCATATAGTCTGGAAGTTTTTATTATTTATGATACTGGCGGGTCAGGGAAAGGTTAGAAATGCCCTGGGATTTTTTTTTTTTTTTTTTTTTTGGGGGGGGGGGGGGGGCTTGTCCATGGTGGCCGTCGACCAACATAACATCAAAACGGAAGGAGGTCCAAATGTTCGAACTAATATTATTCAATATGAACACAGATAGTGAGATACATAACGTTTGATACAGAAATGAAATGAAATGGGGTTTAACGTCCCACTGTTCTGCTCCGGCTGTTCTAATGAAGACAGGCATACGCCATACAGTGTATGAGTGAAATTTTACGTGCACGCCAATGTATACACGGGACCTCGGTTTTTCGTACCATCCGAACTACTAGGCAGCTGTGCTTGTCGGGCTCTCCTTTCCTGCACCACAGTCAAGGGGGACACCACGTCGGAATATCCCGATGAACTTTCTCGGCCAATGCCGTTTGATATGATAGAGAGGACAGCAGTTCCTCGGAGACCATACTCCTCGCAGTGTTTCGTTAGATTATACCTAATCCCACTCAAACACTGCTGTAACGAAATCAAATTTCTGTTCCAAATTATGACTGGTCAATAGCCCGATTAACAACCAATACCTAACTGCGTAACAATATCATTCAGGTTTAAACAGAGTTCAAGATGTTTACATCACGTTATGTCATGACTCGCGAAATTTATTATGTCCAATTAATCAGTGCATAGCACTAGCAGAAAAACTAATTGCCATCAAACGGCTACAATGTAAACAATACTGCTTAGAGACGACCAATACTTTCGCCGTTTTTAATACCTTAAATTGTTAAATCACTGTCCAAAGTTTTAGGGAAGACCACAGATTAAACGAAGGGCTGTCATGTTGCTGTACTTCGGAGAGATTTGATTGAACGGGAAGAATAGACACGCCCCTCAAAAGCTCAAGTATCAGAAGTCAATCCAGCAATGGCCAGAGAGACTTCTCGGGCCATTGCTTCAGGAATATGCTCGGAGACCAGCTTTTCTTAAATGTGTTGCTTTCGACAACTGTTACCCCATTGTCCAATCGCCGCCTACGTTTTCTTGTGTGCTGTTGGTTGATCTGACCACTTTTTTCATTCATCTTTTCATTTCTGTTTTTCTTCTCTTTTATGCGGGTTAGGGTTAGGGTTAGGGTTTAACCCCTCCCTTACTCATCCTCACACACCTCCAGCATCACACCATTTATTCAAAGATTTTCCATTTCTGATATCATCTTTGTGAAAAAAGATCCGCCTAAAAAGTAGTCAGATCAGCCAACTGCCTTTTCTTGTTAACAGTTCGTGTGTTCCCGCAACCAATCGTTCATGGAAGCAACTTGAAAAAAGGGGGTTTTCTAACGTAATTTGAGGCGTTTTTATCGACCACAGATTAGCCAAAGTGATTTGCATTCAATCAAATTTTCATCTTTAACGTCCATCTAATTCAAATTGGTTACCCTAATCAACGAATTTATCGACACCGATTTCCGAAGCGATTACACCAAATCGCCAAATCACTTCGGGGTGCAATTTGACGATTTGATCGGGTGATCACGTCTTTTTTTCAACTGTGTCCAGCCACAACACTTGTTTACAGCTAATCGGAGCAATTATAATAACGAACTCGCCAAAGTACTTTGAAATCGACTAGACTGTCACATGACATCTCCACTAAATTCAAATCGATTTGGCAAGTCGATAAAAAAGCCTATAAATTGTTTCTGGTTGGTCGACCTGACGAAACCCCTCAAAACAAAATTACGTGCTCTGGGGTACAGAAAGATGAGTTAATACATAATCGTAATTTTGAATTTAGCTTACGTGAAGTTCGTCGTCTTGTAATTAATCCATCAAAATCTGAATCAATTTCAAATACAACAAACACTTCCACTGAACACGAAGACGGTTAAATGTGTTGTGACGTACATGCGTGTAAAACACGTGCATCCGATCGAAACAACTCGTTCACTTCCGTCTGTCCAAAAAATTGTAAAATCCAAACCGTGTAAAATAGGTGGATATTGTGCGCTTTGTCGCGACGCCTGTATTTCAGGGTCGGGATAAGCATGCATTTGGTCCCTGGCAGAAAATGCCACTGGGCCCCTCCAATTTAACCAGGCATCGGGTGTTTTCGCCAATCTTTAATTTTATGTCAACTATACAATTGTTAGTAGGCCTATAAATACATACCAAACTTCGGCTGCCCGTTTGTCTAGGATATAACCCGAGGTGGAAGTGGAGGTAAAACTCTAGAAACGAACGAACGGCTGCTTGTCTACAGTTAGCTCCGCTTGACAACAGACACTAAGCTAGTTGAGCGACATTTAAAGTCCCAAATCGACGATTTTAGTGGAAAACACTAGGTATACTTAAAGAAATTCGAGATTCGAGAAGTTTTTATTCTGCTTTCATTGAATAAAATTAAAAAAGTTTATTTAGTCTTTCTGTATTATGTGAAATGTGAAATGGAGTAGAAACGCCTTACAAAACAGTATATTAATTTTTAGATATGGTGTAGCACCATGAGTCTTTCTGTCTGACGTGGAGAGCGTCTATGGGAAACCGGTCGCCACATCCTACGTAGAACCCATGCATCTTTATCTTACTACATATTTCTGTAGCCTTGTGATCGTCTAGAATTTGTCTCTAGCTGTCTTTACTTCTGCTTCACGTTGTGTATTTACTTCTTCCAGTTTCTTAAGACGTTTGTCTTACCAGGAATAATAATGCGTAGTTCGCTTCTACATTTATATAGCATATAACTGAATACAGGTATACAAGCATAATAGATAACAATACTAGTTAAAACCATTTCTCTACCCTAGCCAGCCTCGCGGCTGTCTAGGAACTCAGATGTAAGCCCTCTGGAACCCAATAGAAGTCTGACTTACAGGGTTCCCCGGTTTCTTTTAAAGCTAAGTGAATATCATGCACAATAACGCGTGATCATGGCCCTGAACTTGTGTAATTAACAAAATGATTGGTTACTTTAAACCAAATGATGCAATTAGAATAATTCCACTCACGTGTAATTCGGTGGTAAATGAGTGACATATGTTATCGATAAATCGCTCTTTTTTATGTGTCAACTATCAATTACAGACTAAGTTGATTTAAGTATTTTAAGTACATATCACATATTATGCGAATATGTTATTTCTCGAGCAAAAATTCTACTAAAAGTATTACATAGGGCGGTCATTCGGGACAGAGATTAATTCTCGAAATATGAAGTAGTGTGCTGCGTGCAGAATGATATAAATATACGATGTACCATTTACTTGACAATTATGACGATTTTCATCAGGCCCCTTAATCCAGTTATTACAAACATTTTGCTAGGAACTCCAGGATAATTGTGTTCCTGGTGTTATAGGCTTACCAAAAATGTATCGTTTGTTTAGCCTCGAGGACCTTGTAGCGAAATTGTGTTTCTAAGTGTCGGGATCAGATGGTGGTTTCTGGATTTCTAATTATTCCAAATTCGGGGGGAACATTTTCTTTGTAGGTGGGTGCATTGGGAGTTTGCAACATAATCCATTCTCTTTGATTAAAGATTATGGGAGATAAGATAAAGAGATGGCAGTTCTCGCTATAATAGTTAAAAACTAGATAGTGTAAAGGTAATTTGCCGAGAAAGAGATAGAGATGTGGTTTAACGTCCACTCGACACAAATTAGGTCATTTCGGGACTAACAAATGGTTTAATTTTATTTCAATAATTCGCTTGTACGTAGGGGTCTTTAGCAGTGGGAGGAACCGGAGTACCATACTTCTTGTTACGTACAACCGGGGATTCGAAACCACGCCAGTTGACTCAATGACAGGCCTTATGATACAGTGCGCACGTGCTAACCATTCGACCATCACCCCCCCCCCCCCAAAAAAAAAACAAAAACAAAGTGCTCTGTTGAATAGACCTACATCCGATTCGAAATTATTAGTGTCAGATTTCTGTCCTTTTCTCCAGCAAGGTTGTTTCCTAGGATCAGGCATGTTCCTGAAGCAACGATTGCGAGTTTTACAAAACCTTGATATGATGTACCTAGTTAAAGTGTGATCAAGCCATCAATTGAAGATGAGGATCAGGGGCTGAGGGCACACAATTTATTTTATATTACTCCAAACAGATTTAATAGAACAATTCTATACAAAATAAAAATTTCGCCTCACAAAAAAGGGCGTGGATTTGGGAATTTGTTGAACAAAAAAGAAATGAAATGAAATAGGGTTTAACGTCCTACTGTTCTGCTCCTACTTGGCTACTGAAGACAGGCATACGCCATACAGTGTGCTATGAGGGAAATATTCCCGGACAGCGGCACCACAGCCTTCTCTTATATCGAATTCGAACTCCCATGTGTACATGGGACCTCATTTTTTTGTCCCATCCGAAAGACTATACCTTGTCCTTTGTCAGGCCCTCAGTCCTGAACGAACAAAAAAGAAGATGAAGGTGTGTAATCTCAATCCAAATTTTATTCAATTTCATCTTACAAAAGATTTGATATTAAATGAGAAAAAAGGCAGATCAATTATGAAAATGATAAGCAGATAAATTTTAATGATTGATGTAGGAATATAACAAAATGAAACTCAGGTCAAAACATAGCACCTTTAAGTACAATATATTAGCACCTGAACACAGGTAAATGATTATTTTGATTCAAGCATTGATAACACCAATAAATAATGTTTGATTTTTTTGCTCCTTTTTGTCTTGGTTTAAATATCATAAATTAACTAAGCATTCAGTAGCATAAACTCAGGTGTGTGGAGAGGGGGGGGGGGGGGTGATTCAATTGATCACAAACTAAGCATTCAGTGTAGCAGTACCTGCTTCATGAGCTTCAGTCATTCGAATCTGAGTCCCCACCCCACCCAATTCTAGGCTAGGCAACTGTAAAGATTGTACCTATATTATGTTTCTCAAAATAAAAATATAAAAACATGTATTAACTTTTAACATAAAATTTGTTTCATGTGAAACATAATCTTTGGCTCGGATTGTAAATTATTGACCAGCGACTTATTCACGAAACCTTCTGCTAGAATATTTGAAGGATTCAGCCTTTCTATTGGCTGCTAGGTGTAATCTTATTTCAAATTTCAGCCAATAAAAAAGCTGCATACTTTTTGTATAAGGTCTCATAATTGATTTATATACATAACAAAATCTATGATTCAAATTTTGATTCACTCAGAATCGATAGTTAATTCATCGGCTCGGAAAGGTGTAGGGATATTTTGATTTGTCAATTATCTCGTATTTTTATGATATATAAATATTTAACTACTTGGCTATTAAGACATATATATATATTAATATTTGTAAAAATGTATATTTCAAATATTTGTAAAGATCTATTGGATAAATAAATAATGCTAATTAGTAAACTTAGCTTGGAATGTCAGCTAATTAATTATATAATTATCTTTCAATTAATATACGCATATTTATATAATGCTAAATTATAATATCACACAAAATACTGAGAAATAAATAATTAGATATCAATATTGTTAAAGATACATTAGTTACGAGTTTAATAAAGAGTTGGCCATTCTTGATATAATAATTCAAAAAAGAAAATATTGAAAATTTCAGTCAAGTTACTTTATTCTGAAAGGAGTAGTTACTGTTGGAAGTTTGGACTAGAAACAGGCATCAGCTGTCTCCGCATCGTCTCCGAGAATTGCCAATCTCCGCCCGCCCACATACTCTCGATTAATTATCAAGTAACATTCTCAATGGCTACGGTACCCTCGATTGGCAGGCCTTTCATTGGCACTCTTTGGTAGTGACGTCAGTGACTAACGGTAAACATTAGCTCGATCAACCATTTATTGATTTAATTATTAAATAAAATTAAATTGTAAATAAAGGTCTAATTAATAATTTTTATACTATCTGAAGCCTAAAGAAAGACTTGCAAGATTTAGCTCTTAACTAATGTATCATTACTAGAAGCCACAGATAAATACACCTTTAGAGGTATTTAGTAAAAGATAAATATTTAAAAATAAAACAAATAATACACAGGTAGAGGAATAAACTAGAGTATAATTTATTGACAATTTGATGTTGATCTAGAGTTAAAAATCTGGATGTTCATCAGCAGTTTAATACCTTGATTTTCATCAGCAGTTAAAATACCTTGATTTCCATCAGCAGTTTAATAATTTGATTTTTATCAGCAGTTAAAATACCTTGATTTCCATCAGCAGTTTAATAATTTGATTTTTATCAGCAGTTAAAATGCCTTGACGGTCATAAATACTTTGAAATACCTAAAGTTATAATAAACTAAAATACCTGTTAATACCAAGGTGTGGTTTAAAGGTTGATAGAGAGATATTAAGTACTATAATGATATTGCACGAGGCCAGAAGCCTGAGTGTTGTATCAGTATATTAGGCAATATCTTGCTTGAGGCCTTTAACTTAAAATATAGATACACAATTCCAAATATGTGCATATCTATGACATCATGACACGTCAACATAAAGAAATACTATAATATTGAGTCCAGAACAAAATTTAATATAATCCATAAATCAAATCCTCCAAAAACCTTTAACTAAGTGTAAAATGGGTAGAGCAGTGTTTTCGTTTGAGGTTTTGATTTTTTACGTAAAGAAGGGCATTTGTCAGAAATCTTATCTTAAATTATCTTCTATCAAAATTATTTAAAGTATTTTATTTATGTTTATATAAAGCTATTAAATTTAAATACTCTTGTACCCTGATATGACGGTATGGAGGGAATTTCAAATAATATCACAGCAAAACACAACAGAGTTATCTCCCATCTACGTCTTGACTCGTAAAATATTATCACAACAAAACAAAACAAGAGTTATCTCTCTATCTAAAATAATATCACAGCAGAACGAAAAAAGATGAAACAAAACAAACATTTATAAACTATCAAACAGAAAACATCAGTCAATTCCTGTCCTATTGTATCATTAAAATATGCACCTGAAGCCACTGAAACCCAACGACACTAAAAATATTGCTCCTTACATGATACAGCAATTGAGTTAATTCTACAAGACAAGTGGATTATTTCCAGACTTGACTTTTAAATCTCCAAGTAATTTTGTACACAGATGATCTCTAAAATTAATAAACCTCAGATGATCTCTTTATTATTAACCTATCTCTGAATTCAAAATAACTGAGTAAAAAATCAGATGATATATGTATCATTTAACCCTTCAGTCATATCAAAACGTTTTATTTAGCTTGAGGGTAACCGAAATTTTAAACTCCTTCAAAAAATACTTATAACATCATTGGTTGATGGAAATCCGCCGAAAAGAAGAGAATATTGGCTCTTTATTTTATTTTAATCGGTTATTGTATAACTATAAAATGGTAGTTTAATTTAGTTAATTGAGCAAAATAGATTTGATAGTTGAGTAGCCTACAGAAATAGAGAGGTTCACTAAAAAAAAAAAGCATGAAAAAAAAATCAGTTTGCTCATTCCCTTTTTCAAATGTCAACACCTAAACCTCTCTCGAAAAAAATATGGCTAATCGAAAATCATTAACAAAAAAAACTAAACAAATATTGCATCAATTGCAACTATAAATAGAAGAAAACATATAAAAAAAGTAATTCCCTCATGAAACTTGAACTTACAAGAAGCACGGACAAGGACAAATGAATTTTATAATAGTAGCTGTACTCGGTGTACTGTATTAAAAATATAAACATCTTTTCTATGAATATATTAAAACTACACATACTACTAAGTAGCAGAAATATAACACTAAGACAGGCGTAAAAACCAATAAACAAAGCCGTACTTTGCTGGACCGGGCAACTCACCACATTATACGTCCAGCATCATGTACATCATGGTTTCCATGACAATAAATTTTAAAATAAGTGAGCTTGGTACAGGTTCTCTCATGGGTGCTTTTTACTAGAACAAACAATACTGATACCTATTTTTCAATCTGTATCATAACAATTATATTATACGTATCACATCTACTAGTATTGAGACCTATTTTTCTACCAATATCATATAATATCATAAATATCACATCTATATCTGATATCTAATTTTCTATCAATATCATATCATAATTATATTATATCCAATCTGATTAAAACACAGATCTTATTTCGTTTTGCTAGGATCTGAAAGAGCTGTTATATAACCCACATTCTGGATGATGTGAGAGAATAGCCAATGAAACGGTCTGTTACGGCGAGTTTTTGGCGTGAGGTGCAAGGAACTGTGGGTAATCCACTAAAAACATTAACACTGATTGGTTAAACAAATGTCTGATGTCATAGGGCGAAAAGCCACTCGTATGACCTCTGATGCGACCTTCCACTACAATCAGTCAGATTTTCATGTAGTAGAGGCCATCGAAAGTATAAAAAAAATGAGTCGAAATATAGAACTGTGTTTTAAACTGATTGATGTTATACCTATCTTCTATAAACAATAACAAACAAACTATAAAATATATCTATAATATATTGGTTTAAAGGACAACTTCATCGTCTACAGATTTTACATGTGATGTGATAGAATGAACAAAGGTTCCCAGGAAATGAAACATATACCCACAAACAGATAAGTCATCTGAGCAGTTATTAGCTCAACAAGTCGTAACAATTTCAGATAGAACAAATCATAATTAAAGCTTCTTTGGTGCTAACAAGATTTCCTACAAGATTTCCTAACAAAGGGATCCTATTTGGAATCTATCAACCCGTTCTATCATATAAATGTAAAATCAGTGAATGATAAAGTAGTCCTTTAAGTGCCAAATTACAAGAAAAAATTCTATGGATAACAACGTGGCTTGAAAAAGACAATATAACCATCATCAAAACAAAAGGGAGAGGGGTTTAATATAGGCTATGCCTGTTCCCCAATCCCTATTCACATACAAATCTGAATAAAAAATATTGCTTATAAAAAAAAAAGAAGAAAACTAGTATGGAAGTTTTATATCCACTAAATCATGTCTTTTAACATAATATATATCTAATTTTTTATTAGCTACTAAATGATTATTTACGTGGTGTTAATTGACCCGGTTGAAATGTACCCGACATATGAACGAACGAGGTATTCAGACCCCCTCCAGCACTACCAAAAGAACAATCGCTAAGCTGTGAACAGGTATCGGGTGATCGACTACCATCATGGTGAGAGTTGACGTTATAATCACGGACAGGACTGATATGTTTTAACGACGGATCTAGAAATGAACCTGAGGCTAACATGGATTGAGCTTGCGTCTGTGAACGGGTTATAATCTCGTTAATCTCTTCAATACGACTCCGCTCTCTCCTGAAATAATAAAAATTTTACAAATTATATACCACAAAATTCAGAGAGAGAGAGAGAGGTGATCTTGGGAGCAGAAAGTTTCAGACGGTTTTGAAAATGAGCCATAAAAGATCACTTTTCTCTAAGTCTAAAGTGTTTAAAAATTACTACGCAGAAATCATAATTAGCATGCTAACACAATGTATAAAGTGATATTATAACCATAGAGATATCACTGCTCACTGATCTTCAATCCCTAGTTAGTTTAGTTCTAATTATGAGAGAGAGAGAGAGAGAGAAATGGGGTTTAAGGTCCACTCGACACAAACTAGGTCATTTCAGGACTAACACATGGTTCAATTTTATTTCAATATTTCGCTTGCGCTTAGGGGTCTTTAGCAGTGGGAGGAAACCGGAGAAAACCCATGAGGTTGGACAGGCGACCCTAATCCTTGACAAGTACAACCGGGGAATCAAAACCACACCAGTTGACTCAATGACGCTAACCATTCGGCCATCCAACCCCCCCCGAAATTCATAGCATTAGACCTGGAAGCCATGCACTATGGTGTGAGAGAAATGGGAGAGAAATGGGGTTTACCAACCACTCAACGCAAACTAGTTAATTTCGGGACCAACTTATTGTATGTCGTGAATAATAAAGGAGGTTTGGGGGGTGAGGGGAGAGGAGGGATAAAAAGTAGCTGTTTTTTTGCAAGAATTGGTCATTTTTAGGGCAAAATTCATCATTGACACAGACCAAGTTGACCATTGTCAGGATATATATCACATATATTTTATCAATTTGATTAAAATACAGATCTATATTTCGTTTTGTTTTTTTATACTTTCGATGGCCTACACTACATGAAGATCTGACCAGTTGCACTGGAAGGTCTCATCAGGGGTCGTACAAGCGGCTTTTGAAACTATGATGTCAGACATTGATAAACCAATCAACGTTGACGGACGTTTCTAGTGTTTTACGCAAAGTTCCGTGCATGGCACGCCAAGAACTCAAAGTAATCCCTCACTTTAACCAGAACATAGGATCTGTGTTTTAATCAGATTTATATAACAATTACTTACTTATCAGGCGAACCACTTTTACGTCTAGCAGAATGCATGAGTTGACGTAATCGCGCACAATCTTCTTCTAAGGCATGTAGAGAATTCTTTGTTATCTGGTGTAATGCTCGCTCTGTATTAAGCTGCGATTGCAATTCACCATTTTGTTTCTTGTAACGTTGAATCACCTTAATTTCTCTATCTTTAGCCTCTTTTTCTTTCCGCTGTTGGTTGTCATGGTTATTTTGCATCTGTAGACTTAGGTCCTGGATAACTTGATTCATTTTCTTCCTGCAGTAGCAAACAATCAACCAGGTGTAATTATATTCTTAAAGATACATTATGGGAGATTAGATAAAGAGCTGGAAGTTCTCACTATATAACAGTTAACGATACATTATGGGAGATTAGATAAAGAGCTGGAAGTTCTCACTATATAATAGTTAACGATACATTATGGGAGATTAGATAAAGAGCTGGAAGTTCTCACTATATAATAGTTAACGATACATTATGGGAGATTAGATAAAGAGCTGGAAGTTCTCACTATATAATAGTTAACGATACATTATGGGAGATTAGATACAGAGCTGGTAGTTCTCACTATAATAATTACAAACTAGAGACTGTAAAGGGAATATGCTGAAAATTTCAGTCAAATTGCTTCATTCTGAACCGAGATATTAGCGATTCAATTTTAGGCGTAGCCTCAATCATCATTACTAAAGTCGGTACGATAAAAAACATAAGTCTCGATTATCCATTTTTGGATTTAATCATCAATGAGCGTTGAACAGCAGATCGGATTCAAGTCCAGTGAAAATCTGACACATAAGATGCCATCGAGGGTTGATTAAGATCTGTTCATGTTAATAAATGTCTAATTAATAGTTTATGTAACATTTCAGGCCTAAAGAAAGACCTACAATAGGCAGATTTAGCTCTTGCATAATGTATGTTTAAAGACAGGTTGCTAGGTAACGAAAAATACTATCACCACAGACAAATTGAATTCTATCAGAAATTGCAAAATTTAGTAGGCTTCATCCTCTCACTATCCGTATATGACTTTAAAAGATCATTAATGTAAACAAATTATATGACTTTTTAAAAGATCAGAAAACAATATAGCCTGTCAGTATTAACAAAAAATTACTCGTGCTTAGGGGTCTTTAGCAGTGGAAGGAAACCAGAGGACCCGGAGAAAACCCATGAGGTTGAACAGGTGACCCTGGTCTTTGTCACATACAACCGGAGAACGTGGAATAGCGCTATACAAATGTACACATTATAGTGCTGCTGTACTACTCACCACATGCTTTTAGTATCCCCATCACCAGATTCTTCTGCCTGCTTCGCCCACATTGTTCGTAATCTCTTTACCTCCTCTTCTTGTTCAGTAAATCTACCAACGCAAATAAATATAAACTGATTTCAAACAACTGATTTCTCACACAGCTTAAGTTTCCACTGGACTGTGTCAATGATAACAAGATATACTATATATATGCAGATGTTTCATTTTCTATCAAAGGTTTATTCATCATATTTGAATTATTCATTACTGATGAATTACTTAGAATTAATCATGTGAAATGGACGTAAAGCCTGACTTTTCTATTAACAGTGAATCATCATCATTCAATATTCATCAATGGTGAATCACTCAGATTTATTAATATGCATTCGACCCAATGTGTCAGAAGATTCAATCTGATTAAAACACAGATCCTATTTCGTTTTTTATTTTTATACTTTCGATGGCCTACACTACATGAAGATCAGACCGGTTGTAGTAAAAGGCCGCGTCAGAGGTGGTACGAACAACATTTGACCCTATGACGCAAGACATTGATTAATCAATCAGCGTTACTATTTCTAGTGGTTTACCCACAGTTCTATGGATCGGATGCCAAGAGGTCGCCGTAACAGATGGTTTCATTGACTAATTCCATACCTCAAGCAGAACGCCTGTTATATAACAACTCTTACAGATCCTAGTGTTGCAAAGACAAGTAAAGAGAAATTTTGAACTATAAAAAAAGAAACGAAATAGGATCTGTGTTTTAATCTGATTGATTATTTAATGAAGTTACAAATAAACGAGTCAGCACAAAATTTTTCACCACTTAATCATACCGCTGACTATGTCTGTACAGGTTTGATTCCACACTTGGTTGCCTGCCTGCCCAACCTTGTGGGATGAGGATGAATCATTTTTTGTGGGTTATGAGACATTGTGAAGATATAATTTACCTTGTAACAAGTTTAGATTGCATGACCTCCTCTGATTTCAGAGAATCTCTTGACAGACGTAATTCAGAATTAATATCACGTTTCTGCTCTTCTAAACCTAATATTTCTTCTTGAAGCTGAAATATTTTAAAATGAAACATAAAAATAATATTAATGCACATTTACAAGATTTTATGATGTAGAAATGAAATGAAATCTGGTTTAATGTCCTAATGTTCTGCTCCGACTGGGCTAATGAAGACAGTTTATGAGGGAGAGAGAGAAATGGGGTGGTAAAGTCCACTCAACACTAAGTAAATCATTTAAGGACTAACACATTGTTCAATTTTATTTCAATAATTTGCTTGCGCGTAGGGGTCTTAAGCAGTGGGATGGAAACTGGAGGGCCTGGAGAAAACCCACGAGGTTGGACAGGCGACCCTACCCCTTGTCACGTACAACCAGGGTATCAAATATTCTGAGCCATACACAACACCTTTGCCAGCAATAGATTTGAATATTAGCTAAATTTGGAAATTATTATGTAAATTTTGACAGCTTAAAGATAAAAACTACCTTCAGATTTTCTTTATTTTTAAGAGCAATCTGTTCTCTAGCTTGTTCTAGGTCAACAGAGAGTTGCATCGCTTGTTGAGATAGATTCTGCATTTCCTGTTGTTGACTTCCTCTGTTGATAAAACCCAATTAAACATTGTAGATTGTACATTTAATATTAATTATTTAATATTAATTAAACACCTAGATCACCCAAAACTGGCCAAAATAGCTGTACACTAGTTGTTAAACTACCCTAATAATATAAATAGCTGTACACTAGTTGTTAAACTACCCTAATCACATAAATAGCTGTACACTAGTTGTTAAACTACCCTAATCATATGAATAGCTGTACACTAGTTGTTAAACTACCCTAATCATATAAATAGCTGTACACTAGTTGTTAAACTACCCTAATCATATGAATAGCTGTATACTAGTTGTTAAACTACCCTAATAATATAAATAGCTGTACACTAGTTGTTAAACTACCCTAATCATATAAATAGCTGTACACTAGTTGTTAAACTACCCTAATCATATGAATAGCTGTACACTAGTTGTTAAACTACCCTAATCATATGAATAGCTGTACACTAGTTGTTAAACTACCCTAATCATATGAATAGCTGTACACTAGTTGTTAAACTACCCTAATCATATGAATAGCTGTACACTAGTTGTTAAACTACCCTAATAACATAAATAGCTGTACACTAGTTGTTAAACTACCCTAATCATATAAATAGCTGTACACTAATTGTTAAACTACCCTAATCATATGAATAGCTGTACACTAGTTGTTAAACTACCCTAATTATATGAATAGCTGTACACTAGTTGTTAAACTACCCTAATCATATGAATAGCTGTACACTAGTTGTTAAACTACCCTAATCATATGAATAGCTGTACACTAGTTGTTAAACTACCCTAATCATATGAATAGCTGTACACTAGTTGTTAAACTACCCTAATCATATGAATAGCTGTACACTAGTTCTGTATAGTTGGCTGGTTTGAGGTGATCTTGGGAGCAGAAAGTTTCAGACGGTTTTGAAAATGAGCCATAAAAGATCACTTTTCTCTAAGTCTAAAGTGTTTAAAAATTACTACGCAGAAAGTATAATTAGAACGCTAGAGAGAGAGAAATGGGTTTAACGTCGACTCGACACAAACTAGGTCATTTCGGGACTAACATATGATTTTGATTTTGATTTCAATAATTCGCTTGCGAGTAGGGGTCTTTAGCAGTGGGAGGAAACCGGAGGACCCGGAGAAAACCCACAAGGTTGGACAGGTGTCCCTACTCCTTGTCACGTACAACCAGGGAATCGAAACCATGTCAGTTGACTCAATGATGACAAACCTTATGATACAACGTGCGCACGCTATCTATTTGGCCATCCAACCCCTCAAGTTCTAATTATGAACAAACAGATATAGACACAGAGATGCCTATTGTAAATTAAACTTGTATATAATAAATGAAACAAAATGAAATGGGGTTTAACATGCCTCAATTACTAATCCATCTTGGCCTATGAGTTCATAAAACATTCTCAGACTTACATTAAGAATTTACTCAACTTTCAATCACTATTTATGAGAAATATCTTTGATCCAAAAACACAAAACTTTGCACATAGTTTCTTATTGATATATTTGATACATTAAAACAACAAAAGTTTTATAAAGGGTTATGTTTTAGTTAAAATAAGGTGAAAAATTTTGAGTAAATTCTTAACTTAAATCTGAGAATGCTTTGTGAACTTAGGGTCTGGCTAAAAAAGATCTTACACAGCTGATAAATCCAATAACTTACCTCTCAGTTTTCTGTTCTAAAATCATTTTACGTAATTTAGAATTGAGTTGTTGTTTCTGACTCTCTAATAATTGTTGGAGCTTACTTACTTCAACCTGTATATGATAATATCAATAATATGTCAAAAGCTAAACTTCTCACTTACATCTGGTATTAGATTTCAATACAATCAAGACATGGAAGCTACCTGCCAACTTTGTTATTCACCTAATTAACCTATTGTTCACAGTAATTAGTGACATGCACAACTGTTCGAGCACTGACAATTTATTAATGAAATGAAACAAAATGGGGTTTAATTTCCTACACCAAAAGGACAAATGTGCTATACATTTCCTGATGTTAAAAAGAAGAGCAAAATGATGGTAAACTGACTAACCATTTTATACGTAAATTTTATGTAAATTTAATGTCATGATGTTATCTGGGATGAGGGACCTCTGCCTAGGGTATACGCAAAACCAGCCAGGCCCTCCCATTCCGCAAACCAGATCACTTTGGGACTAACATATGGTTCAATTTTATTTCAATAATTCGCTTGCATGTAGAGGTCTTTAGCAGTGACAGGAAAACGGAGAATCTGAAGAAAACCCACGAGGTTGGACAGGCAACCCTACTGCTTGTCACATACAACCGGAGAATTGAATTGTATTTTGGAAGCTGATATGATAGTATAATTTATAACAAGCTTGTAAGGTATCTATGTGATCGTGTTTAAAAGAAGTGGTATCAAATGTTCTAGAAAGAGTAGTATAATTTATAGTCAACCTGTAATGTATCTATTTGATCTTGTTTAGCTCGGACTGTAGAATCATGAACATGTGCCGTGGCTTCTAACTCCTGATTCTGATGTATCAACCTCTTTATTCTATCTTTCTGTTGAGTTATCTCCCCTTCACGCTTGGTTACTAAAGATTGAATTTCTAATATTCTTTCTTCTACAGTAAACTACAAAAAACAAACATTTCTCTTCAACTGAGAGAATGATTGAGCAGAATTCAATCAAATACAATTAAAACTTAACACCTTTGATTAGGGGCCATTTACTACTAAACCAACACAATATCCATAAAATAATACCTTGTGTTAATATGTTCAATAACTAAATGCCAGTCAAAGAAGACATACCTTATTTTGTTTGCCTTCTTCAATATTTGCTTTCAGATTATCTTCCCTTTGTTGTGCTAGTTTTCGTTCCGTTATTTCTGTGGCTAGTTGAGACTTGACTTCATTCAGTGAATATTCCAGAGCTTTACGTTCATTTTGTAACGTTACGTTATTCTCTGTTATTGATCGTAATGTATTCTCTGATGTACGTAGATTGGCTTCACACTGAATCACAAATATAAACATTTTAGAGAGAGGGAGAAATGGGGTTTTATCGCCCTACTTGACATGAACTAGGTCATTTCAGGACTAGAGAGACAGAAATGGGTTTTATTTCGGGACTAACACATGGTTCCATTTTATTTCAATAATTCGCACGCGCATAGGGGTCTTTAGCAGTGGGAGGAAACCAGAGGACCCGGAGAAAACCCACAAGGTTGGAGAGAGAGAAATTGAGTTTAACGTCCACTCGACACAAACTAGGTCATTTCGGGACTAACACATGTTTCAATTTCATTTTAATAATTCGCTTGCGCGTAGGGGTCTGTAGCAGTGGGAGGAAACCGGAGGACCCGGAGAAAACCCACAAGGTTGGACAGGCAACCCTACTCCTTGTCACGTACAAGCGGGAGATCAACCCCACCCTGATCCAGCGCGCATGTGTTAACCCTTCGGCCACCCAAACCCCCTTTGGCTATTTAGCCCCACTTAGTTGAAGAAAGCGTTATGAAAATACCTTTGAAAGAGCTTCTCTCAGGACAAACTTCTCTGTTTCATTTTGATCTTTCTGATAAGCCGAGGCGTTTCTTACTTCGTTTAGTTGTTGTGCTGTTGATTCCTTGATGATACGTAATTCATCTTGTAGCGTGTGACAATTAACTTGACTCTTAGCAAAACTTTCCTGTAACAACAAGTAACAAATCATATTAAAATCTCAAGATGAACACTCAACAGAGCTAAATCGCTAATATTTGGGACCTAGAAATTGACACAAATGGGTTTCAACGCATATAATATAATGTAATATGAATGTATATAAATCGATTTACATTCAATCGTTTCTGTTTTTACTCTAATTTCAAATCAGTTATGTTCGGCGAAATTCTCTAGTGTCTGGTTATTCCAGTCTACAACAATAGTATTTATTGCACATGCTCTCCAGATAAGAATATGGTTGTCATCGTTTGACGTGACTTGTGGAATTTGTTTAGCCTTGTTCTTCCAGTCCCTTGTTACAAATGGCACTGAAAAGCATTATGGTACACGATTCTTGTACCAATGGTAAAATGTTTATTTTGTCTTAAATATTGGATATCTGAAGCCCATCTTTTCTCGGGAAGATCACATCATTGTTGATTTAAATTGACAAATAATTTAAATTGACAAATAATTTGTGTTTTTTTAAATGTCAAAGACTTTGGATGATATTGAGAGAGATAGAAAGATATGGGGTTTAACATCCACTAGACACAAACTAGGTCATTTCGGGACTAACATATGGTTCAATTTTATTTCAATAATTTGCTTGCGCATAGGGGTCTTTAGCAGTGGGAGGAACACAGAGGACCCGGAAAAAATCCACGAGGTTGCACAGGCGATCCTACTCCTTGTCACGTACAACCCGGGAATCGAAACCCCGCCAGTTTACTCAATGACAGACCTTCGGCCATCCAATCCCCCCCCACAGAGAAGAAATGCTCTGTGATATAAAGGTCTTAACACGTACAGACATGCATCAAGTTTTCTTCTACTGCCAACGTCTTCCTCACGTTTTACTTGTTTTAGCATCATCTTAAAATAATGATTTGATTTTTTGAGTAAATAATGTTAACAACTACCTGAAGTTTACTATTTTCCTGACGAAGTGACATCACTTCTGTTCTTTGAGACTCAATTAGCAGACGAGTATCTGCTGCAGTCGATTCCAGTTTCTCAATTTTACTATCTAATTCATGTTTTTTTCTGAAAAAAAATAAGTTATGAATTGAAAACTTCTAAGCATTCAATGTCCTCTGCAAACAATATCAACAAGCCAGTGTCACCTAGCTATAATCTTCACTAAAAACTTTTGATATGCCTCTTTTAAATCCGACAGAATCCAGGCCAGAAGATTATCAACCGTTGATATTTTGATGATATTATTAAACATACATTATGACGTCACATTAATAATGATGTCATTGTAATAATCATATTAAACATACATTATGCAAGAGCTAAATCTGTCTATTGCGGGTCTTTCTTTAGGTCTGAAATGTTATCTAAATTATTAATTAGACATTTATTAACTTATCCAGGCCATAATCAACTCCCGAAATCATCGCTAGCCTGCAATCTTTATTGAATTAGGTTCTGATTTGCTGTTCGACTTCCATTCATGATTTAATCATGCAATGGATAATCAAGGCTATGTTTTTTCAACAAATTCCCTTTACATTATCTAGTTTTTAACTATTATAGTTAGAACTGCCAGCTCTTTATCTAATCTCTCATAATGTATCTTTAATTAAATCTTAAATAATCAATGCAATCTGAGCACATTAACTGGGATTCATGGAAAAAGTGACTTAGATCGTTCTTCCAATGGGCTCTTCCATACCGGTATACGAAACAAATCTTACCTATTCAACTCTTCCACCTCTTGTAAAGTTCGACCAAAAGAATTTAGTTGTAGATCTTTCTGTTGTAATTTCTCCGCCATACCACTAACTTCATCTCTGAAAATAAACCTTTATATTATAATCTTCGCAGTTTTCGGGGATTGGGGATGGATGGAACATCATTACATTAACTAATTATGTAAGTGAACAGATGATGAAATGAAAGCAGAACCCTGAAAGGTGATGATTGTGAAAAGTTTGTGAGTATTTGAAGGGGTTTCTGAGAAACAGAATATTATCTTGTATGGCCTTAATGCTAGGTTTCCACTATCACAATTCGTGCTACGATTGAAATTGTGGTTTTAATCGTGGAGTATTCATGTTGATCCTATCACATATAGAGGTCAGTCGTAGCAATCGCGTTGATCAAATGGAAACGTATCCGAACGTATCTGCACGTACCAGATCGTGGACTCAATAGGGACAATCCTATCGTAGCGCATCTCACGACAGTGGCAACCCAGCATTATCTAACTAATTTCGAGTCCTGACCAAAACTCTATAACGAACATAGCCATCTTAAACTAAGTGTTGTAAAAATATTGAAATATTGACAAGCAGACTAAGTGATAAAAATCCAGTTGACATCAAATTACAGCAGACATACCTTGCTATTTGTAATTCTCTGGCTACTTCAGCCTTTTCTTGATCCAGAGCTGTTTTTTCTACCATTACTTCTCTTCTAATACTATCGTTCATCATCATCTCACGTTCACGTAAATCTGATATATCACGATCTTTATCTTTTAACATGGAGTTCAACTCGTATTGTTCTGTAAACATATAATAGACTATCAAGCAAAACTGCACAACAAAAAGGAAACACAAAAACATAATAATTCAGAAAAAATTGCCAACATAAAATCCAGATGTCAGAGTAAATTCTTGTCCGCATGTTTATCTTGTAGATTTTGTTTTGCGTGTAGCGCGGTTCTCCTGCCCTTCATACTGCAGAATGTTCTCGTTGTTGGGCTTTGCTCATGTTTGCTCACTACACTTATTATTATAGGGTTTTCCGAGATTCTTTCTGGATAATCCCTTATTGCTGAAATTGTTTGACGTTCTGGCTTGATGTGATATTTGTTTATTTTTTGCGATGTTTATTCTGTCTTGTCCGAAGATTTTTGTTTTGTGTGTAGTGTTGTCTTCTTGCACATTAAGAGATTTACAGAAAGAGAGAAATTTGGTTTAACATTTCAGGATTGCCATAGCAATTATTTATTTCGTTATTTGGATTGTACACAGGAAAACATGGAAGAACAAAGAGAAAACTCAAAAGGTTAGGCAGATACAATAGTGGGATGAACCTAACAATCACAGAAAAGAAGGAATAATTCACTTAACAAACAATATGAATGACTAATCGTTTTAATATTCAAAGAGATGGTTCTTTTGTACTACAGATCTTTGAGGGAAGGGGAAAAGAGAGAGAGAGAGCTGAAGAGTGGGGGAGGGATTTCCATTTGAACGATTGGACAGACTCTGTCCCGAGATCTTGGGATTAATATTACAAATCCTAGAGTTCTTCTTCTTCTTAATAGGCCGAGATTTCAAACTGGGAAATTCCTATCATTCCAGAATTCAATCAAGCAACATTCCAAGCAACATTCTTTTTCTTATAATAGGCAGAGATTTCAAAATGAGAAATTCCTATAATTCCAGAATTCAATCAAGCAACATTCCAAGTCAAAGTTCTGACGTCCTAACAACCCAACTACCAAGCACTCCAACTCACCTTGAACAAGGGCAGTTTTCTCTTCCTTGATGTGATCAATAGTTTTTTGATTTAATGATATTTGATGTTTAAGGTTGACATTCTCTCGTTTTAATTCATCAACTTGTGTAGCTAATCTGTTCTCTATCTGCCCTTTCTCTACAATTTCTTCCTGTAATAAAATATATATTTTAAATTAAACGGACACATCGACATAAACTAGGTCATTTCGGGACTAACATATGGTTCGATTTTATTTCAATAATTCGCTTGCACATAGGGGTCTTTTGTAGTAGGAGCAAACCAAAGGATGCAGAGAAAACATCCAAGTTTGGATGTACAATCGGGGAATTGAAACCACGCCAGCTGACCCAATAACAGACGCTATGATACAGCGCACACACGCTAACCATTAGGCAATTGAATCCCCATAAATTGATGCAGACATTCTATTGTATACTGCCATGATATATATTGAATCAATGTATATAGCCAATCCTGTATTGAAATAAGAGATGCTGAATTGATTCTTCAAAATACTTCTTTTTTCTTTGGATCATGTCTTCTGCTATAGCTGAAACAAAAACTCTGCATTTCGGAGGTCTGACATGTTTTCTATAAATAGCCAAATAGTAACCACTTCCATTTCTTGTTGGCGATATCAAGTTAGTCCAAGAAGAAGAAGAACGTCCATTTTCTGCTAGTTTGATTGGTAATATTTTGATACGTTTTTGGTTGAGCACTGACTCTTAATTTTGATATATCACAGGACATACGTGAAAGAGAGAGTAAAATTGGGTTTAACGTCCACACTACACAAACTACGTCATTTCGGGACTAACATATGGTTCAATTTTATTTCAATAATTCACTTGTTTGTAGGGTTCTTTAGCAGTGGGAGGAAACCGAAGAACCCACAGAAAGCCTACGAGGTTGAACAGGCTAGCCTAGTCCTTCTCACGTACAACCAGCGAATCGAATCAACGCCAGTGGACTCAATGACAGATCTTATGATACAACGCCCATCCAACTCCCTAGGAAAAAAGACATACCCTTAACTGATGTAGATTCTTTCTTTCAACAGTTAAATTATTTAATAGGAATGATTGTTCATGTTTCACGGCTTCTAACTTCTGATTAGATTTCTGTACTTCATCTATCTTCATACTAGAAATACTTCTCTCAGCTTCCAACTAAAAATATTTAATATAGAAATAAAAACAATCATTGGAATCATTCTGTAAATTGATGAATATCAAAATTTAACCAAAGACAGAAGCCAGATATGAAAATATGATGGTTTCTTTCATTTATTTTTTTAACAGAAACATTATTAAACGGGACCGGAGGCCTTTTTTGCGAAAGTTTAAGGATGTAACCATTTCATTAATAGCTAAAATTTGTTCTTCGGTTCAACAATCTGATTAAAATACAGATCTATATTTCGATGACCTACACTACATGAAGATCTGACCAATTGTAGTGGAAGGTCGCGTCAGTGGTCATACAAGCGGCTTTGGGCTTTTGACCCTATGGCATCAGACATTTGATTAACCAATCAGCGTTGATGTTTCTAGTAGGAAACACAGTTCTGTGCATCGCACGCCAAGAACTTGTTCTAACAGACCGTTTCATTGGCTAATCCCTCACATCATCCAGAAAGCGGGTTATATAACAACTCTTCTAAATCCTAGTGTAATAAAGACAAGTAAAACAAATTTTTGAACTACAAAATACGAAACGAAATAGAATCTGTGTTTAATCAGATGGTGGGTTCAACACCTAGCCAATGAAAAATCAGTATCCTTAAGATTGCTTTAGTAAATATGGCCCCTGGTTCAATGACTTACAGAATTTCGTTCTGCTGCTAACTGATGTTCTAATGTTGCTTTAGTATTACTCAAATTACTGATATCCTCATGAAATTGATCGATTTTACTTCTACTATGGATCAAATTATTCTCTAGCTGTCTAATATTGTTCTCTAGCTGACGTTTTTCTGTTTCTAACGAAGCTATTTTACCATCTTTCGTCATAAGCTCTGCTACTTGGGTTTGTTGATGTATTTCTGTTTTATCAATCTACAATAGAGAATTAACAAAACACAATATTTATGGGAAACAATCGCTGGTTTTATTCTGAAAGTACGATGTTTCAACAAGTATCCTCTTATCGTTATCAAACACAATAACCTTTAGTTTTTGTTGCACGCCAATGTGTACACGGGGCACCGTTTTTTCATCCCATCCGAACAGCTATACATTGTCCCTTCTAAGGCCTATCTGTCCTGCACCACTGACAAGGAGAAACCAGGTCGGAAAATCCCGTTGAACTTTCTCAGCCAATGCAGGGATTGAACACACGACCTCCAGGCTGCTAGCGAACGTGTCTTACCCACTTAGCCACCATGGCTCAATGTTTGTTACTATATAGCAAAGCAATTACGGTACATTAAATATAGTACCTTTTTTAAAACAGTGTTTATTTCTTCTTTCATTTTCTGAATATAATTTTTTTCTGATTTAAGATCTTTCTGTAGTAGGTTGGTCTCTTTTTCTTGGTAGGATTTCTCTTTAGATAAATACATATTAATCTCATGTATAGCCGAGTTCTCTTTCATCTGAAGATTTAAAGGAGCATTATGGGAGATTAGATAACGAGTTGGCAGTTCTCGCTATAATAGTTAAAAAATAGATAATGTAAAGGAAATTTGCTGAAAATTTTAGTCAAATCGTTCAACTCTAAACCGGGATATTAGCAATTGAATTTTAGGCCTAGCCTCAATCATCATTACTTTTAAGTCAGTACGATAACGTTAAATCGTCCATCAGAAAATGTATTCAAATACAGTTAATATCGCAGGCTAATGATGGCATCGAGAGTTGATTATGGTTTGGATAAGTTAATTAATGTCTAATTAACAATTTAGATAACATTTCAGGCCTAAAGAAAGACCTGCAATAGGCAGATTTAACTCTTGCATAGTGTATGTTTAAACAAATAGCACACAATAAGCTGGCAGACAACAGTCGGGTTGACATTTTTGCCCAGTGCTTGAACTGGTAAATAGCTGATTTACCAGAATTAATCAATGCCATTGACCACCGTATCAATTTTGTGAAAATTATCAAGTATTTTCATTTTCAGATCTTTCCAGAATTCCAAACATTGTGAAATATTCCAGTCTGATTAGAATACATATCTATATTTCGTTTCATTTTTTTACACTTTTGATGGCCTGCACTACATGAAGATCTGACCGGTTGTAGTGGGAGGTCGCGTCAGGGGTCGTACGAGCGCCTTTTGACCCTATAACGTCAGACATTGATGAATTAATCAGCATTTCCATTTCTAGTGGTCTACCCACTGTTCTGCGCATCGCATGCCAAGAAGTTGCCGTAACAGAAGGTTTCATTGGCTAATCCCTCTTGCTATCCAGAACGCAGGTTATATAACAACTCTTCCAGACCCTATTGTAGTATCGACAAAGAAAACGGAATACTGAACTATAAAAAGCTTACCTTAAATATAAGCTCATTGGTCAGTCTATCAATATCTTCTTTGTTACACTGATTTTCATTGGCTAGATATTCTACCCGTCTGTGCAGGAAAGTCATTTCAATCTGATTACGGCTGCAAAATAAAGTAGAGTGATATTTATTTACTTTTAAAAGCCATAATCTCTCGAGACCTGTAACATAATGTCAATGGTATAAACGGAATGACAGTTTTTTGTCTCATCCAAATAACAAGGTGCTTTACCTTGCCAGACGACCTGTTCGGCACAACCAACAAAGATAACAAGCCGTTCATACAATAAAGGGGCCATGGAGTTTGGAGTTGTGGTCAAAAACAAAAATAACTCACTTCCTCTACATCTATCGAAATGAAAATGCAATCCTATAATCATGTGCAACATACATCAGATGAATTAAATTGATTGTTTTATTTTTAAGTCAATAGATTGAATTGATTTAAACAATAACTTACTGTAATTTATCATGAAAGATTTCTACTTGTTTATCTTTACCATCTAATAATAACGTGAGGGAATTGATCTCGGACATCAACTAGAAATAAATATACAAATATTACACATTAAACAAAGGTTTCACTATAACTCCCATTACACAAAGGTTTCACCATAATTCACATTACACAAAGGTTTCACTATAATTCACATTACACAAAGGTTTCACTATAATTCTCATTACACAAAGGTTTCACTATAACTCACATTACACAAAGGTTTCACCATAATTCACATTACACAAAAGTTTTACCGTAATTCACATTACACAAAGGTTTTACTATAATTCTCATTACACAAAGGTTTCACTATAACTCACATTACACAAAGGTTTTACTAAAATGCACATTACACAAAGGTTTTACTATAATGAACATTATACCAACTTCAAAGTTTTCACCATAATGCTGATGTTGTGGTTCATGGAGTAGATTCGCTTAATAGCATAACTCATATACCGTAACCCCTAAATTGTAGCAAAGGTTACAGGTGGCAATGGTATTTGATCATAGCCCTTTCAGAGGATGTTGAATGTTATAAATATTCAATTTATCATATCTTTGTAAATACCTGGTGGAATTGAATCGTTTCTGGACTGATGATCAAAGTTATTTATAATCTATGTTACCTACCTGTGTAGAGAGAGAGAGAAATGGGGTTTAACGTCCACTTGACACAGACTAGGTCATTTCGGGACTAACATATGGTTTAATTTTATTTCAATAATTCGCTTGCGCATAGGGGTCTTTAGCAGTGGGAGGAAACCGGAGGACCCGGAGAAAACCCATGAGGTTCGACAGGCGACCCTACTCCTTGTCACCTCCAACCGGGGATTTGAACCTACCTGTGTATTTGTGTATATCAAACTATTTAAAATCTATGTTACCTACCTGTGTATTTGAAGCATCTATATTTTTATATTTGTTCCGATCATGTTGTTTAAACGTCTCTTCTTCAAATTTATGTAGAACTTCCTGTAGTTTATTCTCTAATTTAACTAAATCTTGTTCATCTAAAACTTTCTCTTCAAAGATAACATCTCTTTCTTCACCTATAGCCTGTAGTAAAAATCATATTGGGGCTTGTTGTTGCCTAGTGTTCGAAAGTTTTAGGGTTGGGAGGACCTGCCAAGAATGGTACGAAAAACGAATCCTATGTTTGCATTTGTATGCACGTAAAAGAACCATTGCCAGTTGGAATTTGAAATAAGAGTAGGACATAGTGCTGCAGTCCTAGCAAAATTTCCTTTATACGTACTTCATGGCGTATGCTCGTCTTCATTAATCAACCTGGGCATAAAATTAGGAAGCTGAACTCTGTTTTGTTTCAGTTCTGTGGTAAACATGATGTGCAAAATGAAACAAGTGTTTTATTGCACATGAGCGAGAGAAAGAGAGAGAGAGAGAGAGAGAGAGAGAGAAATGGGGTTTAACATCCACTCGATACAAACTAGGTCATTTCGGGATCAACACCTGGTTCAATTTTATTTCAATAATTCGCTTGCGCGTAGGAGTCTTTAGCAGTTGGAGGAAACCGGAGGACCCGGAGAAAACCCACGAGGTTGGACAGGCGACCCTACTCCTTGTGGGCCAGATCTGAAATTGAGTGTAACAACCACACAACACAAATTAGGGCATTTTGGGACTAACACATGGTTCAATTTTATTTCAATACTCTGCATGTGCGTTGGGGTCTTAAGCTGGAGGACCTGGTGAAGAAGCATGAGGTTGGACAGGTGACCCTACTTCTTGTCATGTACAAGCGGGGAATCTAAACTAATAAAATACCTGTATTTGATGTTCGAGTTCTAATTTATCGGCTGTTACTTGAACATTTTTACTCTTTTCATCTGCTAAATACTGTCTTGTTTTAGATAACTCTTTCTCGGTAGCCTTGTGTTCTGTTTCACGTGCATTCAGGAAGGACGATACTTGCTGTTTTAAAATAAAATAACAAATATTAAAGATTGGCAGATTTTTGTGCTTATTAAAAAATTTTGCATGTGTTCATAAACTAGAAATAAAAGATATTTATCAAAAATTGTATTTATTTTCACCTTCCTATCAGATTCAAATACAATAAGGTTATTTCAAATCAGACATTGACAGAAATAAGTGTCTGTTTCAGCTGGATGTGACCAGTGTTAACCCATGGACCTTATAATACATGTATTATACAGTGTTATACCATAGACCTTATAATACATGTGTTATGGTTATACAAGCCTGGAAGTAAGGCACCAGTCACAGACAATGTCCGGCACAGATTCAGATTTTGTCAGGCACTAACCCTCTGGTGTCAGTCATATTTTTCTGACATAGATTTGTATTTTTTCCGTGTTTTTATTGATTTTATGTAAGACACGGCTGGATCATGGTCATAAGAAATGAAATGAGGTTTAACGTCCTACTGTTCTACTCAAACTGGGCTAATGAACACTGGCATATGCCAAACAGTGTGCTATGAGGGAAATTTTGCCTGGTCCTACTCTTATATACTATTCAAAAAAAGTAGGGGATATTTGATTTTGGGGGCATAATACTAAAATATGCAAATGACTACGAAAAAAGTCACTATAGAACCTAACAGAAGAAACATTTCCAGTTACATGTGACACCCAAACGCATCAATAGCTACCGCATGGAATGCAGGTGGTGCTTGGGATCATCATGGGGGTCCAACCCAAGATTTGCACGACTCTGACTTTGAATGTTACAGTCATTGTGGCATTGAATTCCAGGGTGGAAACATCAGTTTAATTGTTTTAGTGACCAGAAAACAAATTTTGATATGCGTCGGCTTACCCAAAATGAAAGGTTACGTGCCCTTGGCATGCTACAGATCGGCACAACACAGGCGGTTGTGGCGCGGACGATGAATGTTTCTCAGTCTGTCATAAGCAGGCTATGGTCCAGATACCGTGATACACAATCTGTACAGGACAGACCACGCTCAGGTCGACCAAGGGCGACAACTCAAGCCCAGGATCGATTTATCCGTACCTTGGCCTTGAGAAATCGTGTCATCACAGCAAATCAGATCAGCGCTCGTCTTCAAACAGACACTGGTGTGAGAGTGAGTGGCCAGACGATTCGGAATCGACTGCATAGGGGTCACCTTCGCGCCCGACGTCCTCGCGTGATCCCTTGTTTGAGAGATCATCACATTCAGGCAAGACGTCGTTGGTGTAGGGATCGTCAACACTGGGATAATCGACGCTGGAGCAATGTGATGTTTTCAGATGAGTCAAGGTTCACTGTTGATTTTTTGGACAGACGTAGGAGGGTGTGGCGTCGTCGAAACGAGCGCTTCCAAGACGTTAACGTCATCAGACATGATCGATTTGGGGGTGGTTCTGTTATGGTGTGGGGAGGCATCACTGTTGCTGGAAGAACGGCTTTACATGTTGTTGCAGGGCGTGTTACAGGCCAGTACTACCGGGACAACATCTTGGCAGTCCATGTTTTGCCGTTCGCACGACGTCATGGCCGCCGTTTCATCTTCCAGGATGACAACGCAAGATGTCACAGGGCCAGGATCGTTACAGGTTACCTCCAACAACAGAACATCACCACATTACCTTGGCCAGCACTGAGTCCCGAACTCTCCCCCATCGAGCATGTCTGGGACATGCTTGGACAGAGGTTACGTCAACGTCAACAACGTCCTGCCAATGTCCAAGAACTTGCTGCTGCGTTGCAACAGGAATGGGACAATCTGGTCCAAAATGACCTTAGACGTCTCATTAGGAGTATGCCACGTCGGATCAATGCTTGTTTGGCAAACAGAGGAGGATTTACCCGTTACTGACTTGGTTGTGATGCTGTGGTAACTTTGCTGTTTGACCCCGGGTATCATTTTACCCTTATAATGGTCAGTCTGTGCCTTACTTAGTCTAAAGATCATTTGGAATAAATCGATGAATGTGAACTTCATTTCATTTTGTCATTTGTTTCTTCGTCAGTTTCATTAGGTGACTTTAATAACACTTAAAAATCAAATATCCCCTACTTTTTTTGAATAGTATATTTTGAATTCCAACTGTCAAGGGTTCTTTTACATGCACGGCAATGTGTACATGGGGCCTTGGTTTTTTTGTCAAATCGGAAGTCGGAACGACTAGATCTTCTATCTTGCACAACTGATAAGGGGAAACCATGCCAGAAAAATCCTGATGAACTTTCGCGGCCAACACCAAGAGCAGAAAAGTAGGATGTTTTAAAAACACCATTTCATATTACCAATAGATTAGATTTAAGTTTCTCTATTTCAGCTTGTAGTTGTGATATATGTAACTCAGTAGCTGATTGACTCGGTCGAGGTGCACACTGATCGTGTTGATCAATCTGAAATCTTAGTTTATCATTTACATCTTTTACTTGACTTAACTCTAACTCGGCCATCTGAAGCTGAATAATAAATACAATACAACAAATAATTTACAAATATAATCCACTTATGGGTGGGATCTACACTTTCAAAATATTCAAGAGTAGACCTTGATAAATTTGATCCTGCTAATAGAGAGGGCCTTGGGGAGAAATTCCTGTGCAGTAGCTGATTGGTGGTTTACAGTCTGTTTTCACAGTAGTGATATTATTGCCAACTATTATATAAAATGCCTGTTCATGAATTCATGCGAAAAATTCCCTCAGTATATTCTAGTATGAAATTCCAACCAATCAGTATATTCTAGTTTGAAGACAGATAATGTCCTTCAAGGGGCATTATGGAAGATTAGATACAGAGCTGACAGCCCTCACTATAACAGTTAAAAACTAATTAATGAAAAGGGAATATGCTGAAAATTTCAGTAAAATTTCTTCATTCTGAGTCGAGTTATCGGCGTTAGAAAAACCGTGTAGTCTCAATTGTCAAGGCTACTGTTGTCACGGTAATAAACAAAGTCTCAATTATCCATTTTTAAATTAAATTATTGACCATCTACCATATTTAAATCTGTGAAAATCTTGAGTATGCGATGGCATCGAAAGTTGATTGTAATTTTGGTAAGTTAATAAATTTCTAATTAATAGTATATATAACATTTAAGGCATAAAGAAAGGCCTGCAATAGACAGATTTACCTCTTCAATAATGCCCCATTAAATACACTAACTTCAGATTCTAATGAAAACATGAAAATATTTTCTAGGCCATGACTGATAAAGATCCACCTACCTCTATTTGTTTACTATTAAGTTTAGTACTGAGGGTATCCAACGAATCTTTCAATGTTTCCATCTGATTTAATTTCTCTTTTTCTGATTTAGTTATCGTCTCTAAAAGATTTGACTTCTGATCCAATTGATGACGGAAATTATCTACCTGTAAAATATTCATGATTAAAAATACTAATAATTCTTTTAAACAATTACGCGAAACCGATGAATCCGTTATATTTCAATAGATAGTTAATTAATCTACTTATTCCTAGAAGAGATTATAGTGTCAGAGATGTGATCACAATACAGATCGTACGAGCACCAGAAAGCCTAGGTCAAAAGTGCTTGATCTAAATAAAATAGGGTTCAACATGCACTGTTCTATGGGGGGAAATTGTGGCTCGTCGGCTGCTTGCCAGTTGGCTCGTCAGTTGCTCATCAGTGGGCTTGTCAGTGGCTCGTCAATGGGCCTGTCAATGGGCCTGTCAGTGGTTTGTCAGTGGCTTGTCAGTGGCTTGTCAGTGGGCTTGTCAGTGGCTCGTCAGTTGGCATGTTATTAAGCTCGTCAGTAGCTTATCAATGGGCTTGTCAGTGGCTCGTCAGTGGCTTATCAGTGGACTTGTCAGTGGCTTTCTGCCAACTCTCCATCGATTTCCCATTGTCAAGGTTTTTTTTACATGCACGGTAATAAGTACATGGGTGGACCTCAGTTTTTAATCCTATCCCAACAACTACATGCTTTTTCCTAGTCACGTTCTCATGTATTTCACAAACTTTCTCTGCCAACATAGGGATCAAACTAGGAAGTTGCTGGTTAATGAGCCAGCGAGAAACTCCCTGAATCACTGTGGCTCCGAGCTCTGGACATACCTGAGATTGTAGGTTATTATTATGTTCCTGATGATAATATAATTCTTGTCGTAGCTGTTGTAAATCTGTTTCTGTTTTCTTGTATTGTCTGTTTACTTTCTCTACATGCGAATCTTTCTGTTCTAATTCTGATTGTAAGAAACTGATCTAAAAATAAAATAACGACAAATATTGAATAACAACGAAACAAACAAGTTATGACATTACATTTGGGATTCTAACGACTATATATAGAGGTTTTCAATATTAGCAGAATGTTCTTTAAAATTATTCTTCAAACAATAAAATGTAATGAAATAAAATATCTGACCTTCATTTCTAACTTCTCATTTCCCTTCATATCATTGTGAGTTTTGATGTTCAGTAATTGACGATTGGCATTTTCTAATTGTTGTTCTAGACGAGAGTTCTCTGCCCCTTGCATACCACACTTTTCTGTTAATTTCTTCATTTCAGACTGTAGTGTACTGACCTGAATAAAAATGAAATGAAATGGGGTTTAACGTCCTACTGTTCTGCTCCGAACTGGGCTAATAAAGACGGGCATACGCCATACAGTGTGCTATGAGGGAAATTTTACCCAGACAGCCATGCTACAGCCTACTCTTATATCTAATTCCAACTGTTAAGGGATCTTTTACGTACACACCAATGTGTACATGGAACCTCGTTTGTTCGTACCATCCAAACAACTAACAAGGGAAAACTACACCAGACAATCCTGATGCACTTTCTCGGGCAACACAAGCATCGAACACGAACCTCAACAGAAACAGAACTATTGTCGTATTGATCCTCTCTCTACTGGATGATCAATATTGTAATATAAGTCATGTGAGACGTGAGTTATCTGCCCCTGTCGACTCTTCACTGTAATATATAGATTGAAGTTAATAAAAACAGACACACATACTCCGGAGTGTGCTTGCTTGAAGTACGAACATGTCTTGTGTTAATATATAGGGGGGTTTGAGATATGAATATGACCGTCCATCCACGTGCTGATATATAGAAGGCATCTAGAAGGTAGTGATCCCAACACAACACTATATAACATTTATTCCATTAGATATTCAATGAACTATACTCTCCACCAGCATTCCTTTTACTCCAGATTCTTAGTTCCACTGATTTCTGTCCTGTCCAGCCACTGCTGCTCTAATAAGGGAATGTAGGCAATCCGCCCCCCCCCCACCCCCACCTCTTATCTATTCAATTTCATAGAAGTCGTAAGATTATATAACAATTCCTTTTGAAACAAACAAATTAAATAGTTTATCAGGTAATATACAGCCTTCCCCTGTTAACATAATTAATTTTGGTGAAAAATAAAACATTGAAAGCGCATCTTAATTTAATTGCAATTTTGATCTTTCAGTTAGAATCTAGAAATTTGTTTTTGATTAAAAAAAATAAAATCTGGCTAAACTAATTAATTTGTAGTTCCACAGGACCTTGTTTTGATAGATAAATAGCACAAATGGCATCTCGTGAACAATATTTTGTTCAATATTTCAAAATTTGGAAGTAAAAAGCTTTAGAGACAAGCAGCCAAGAATTTATTTGTTTCCAAATGTTTGTTTCCAGACGAAATGGCAAGTAAAATTCAAATTGGTGTTATCTAATTAATTAACTAACTTTGAAAACAATCCTGATTTTACCTGTGCTGTTAAGCGATCAATCTTCTGTTGTTTTCTGACGGAACTGTCATCTAACGATACCCTAGAGGTAAGAAGAGCCAGCTCATCATTGGCATCACTTAAAGCTTTATTTCTACTGTTTAACTGAGCACGGACTGATTCTAATTCTAGCGTCTGTTGTTTAACTGTTCTGTTTAATTCACCCATGATCTCTTCTAAATTAAGCATCTCCATAGATAATCTTTTTGTTTCCGCTGTAATAAAACAATAACATGAGTTGCCAGGCTACAAAAAATATACAGGCTGGTAGAGCATCTGGGCAAAAGAAAACATTGACAGTTACATGCTTAAAATCTTATGTCTTATGCCATATTGCAATGGAAAACAATCTGGTTAAAACACAGATCCTATTTCGTTTCGTTTTTTATAGTTCAAAATTTCGTTTTACTTGTCTTTACTACGCTAGGAAGAGTTGTTATAAAACCCACGTTCTGACTGATGTGACGGACTAGCCACAGCGAGTTCTTGGCGTGTGTTGCACGGAACTGTGGGTATCCCAGTAGAAACATCAACACTGATTGGTTAATCAAATGTCTGAAGTCATAGGGTCAAAAGCCGCACGTATGACCCCTGTCGCGAACTTCCACTACAACGGATCATATCTTTATGTAGTGCAGGCCATCGTCATCGATGGTATAAAAAAATGAAACAAAATATAGATCTGTATTTTAATCAGATTGAAAGGAAAATAAAATTCTAAAACGTATATAAGAGTAAAATATTAAATAATTAAATGGAATACACATACTTTCATCAATTAGTTTTTCTTGATCTGAAGAATGACTCGATTTCAAACTCTGTCGTAAAGCCTCATTTTCACTTCTGATAGCATCCATCATATCATTCAGTGTTTTTAGTTTACCAAAAGCTGCATGTCTTTCTTTAGTAAGACTTGATAGTTGACTGAAAATTAAAATAATAATAAATCTTGTATTAAACATGCATTATGCCAGAGCAAAATCTGCTTATTACAAGTTTTTCTTTAGGCCTGAAATGTTACATAAGCTATTAATTAGACATTAAATAACTTATCCAGATCATAATCAACTCTTGATGTCAAGGCTAGCCTTCGATGTTGGCTGAATTAGATTCCTATATGCCGCTAACGGCCATTGATAATTAAATCAAAAAAAGTGGATAATCGAGACTATGCTGTTTATATTAATGATTTTAGTAATGATAACCGAGACTATGCAAAAATTTCACCCGCTTCTTTCTCGGCTCATAGTGGATCAATTTGACTGAAATTTTCAGCAAAGTACCTTTATACTATCTAGTTTTTAACTATTATAGCGAGAACTGCCATCTCTTTATCTTATCTCCCATAATGTATCTTTAATATAATATAAGTAATAACATCAACCTAATTCATTTGATATTTTAAAAGATTAAAGAATTACAGAGAGATGGGGTTTATCGTCTACTCAACAAACTAGGTCATTTCGGGACTAACATATGGTTCAATTTTTTATTTCAACAATTCGCTAGCGCGTAGGGGTCTTTAGCAGGGGGAGGAAACCAGAGGACCCGGAGAAAACTTACGAGGTTGGACAGACGACCCTACTCCTTGTCACGTACAAGCGGGGAATCGAAACCACACCACTTGACCCAATGACAGACCTTATGATACAGCGCGCACGCGCTAACCATTTGGCTATCCACCCCCCTGAATTTGATAAAGAGCTGGTCGTTCTTGCAAAAAAATGAAAATGAAAAATGAAAATATTGAAATTATATTTAAATTACTTTATTCTAAGCGAAGTTGTGAGTGCTTGTAGTAGGGATGAGATGAAGTGTAGATTGTTATCGTAGCAACAGTACTGGACAACCGAGACTAAATCTCAATTATCCATTTTAACGTAGCAAGAGTACTAGATAACTGAGACCCCCCCGATAAAGCCCCACTCTGAGTTTATCTTTACTCGAAAACCAATTGTCATTCATGTTGATGTTTTAAGCAGTGGACACACTAGCGGTATCAGTCCGTGTCGCAATTCGCCTAGTATGTCCACTGCCATTCGGCCGAATTTCTATTCGGCCAAAAGATTTGCCCGAATCAAACAGGTTTGATATATTAGGCCGAATTATATTCGCCTGGTGTGTCTGCTTCGCCAAAGCATTCGGCCAAATGTAGAATTCATTAGCCAATCACCACTCACCATCCACTCAAAAAAATAGATCCATAACTAGCTGTGTAATTAGCCAAGAAAAATAAAGTAAGGTTATTGAGTTGAACACACATCTTGGAGTGACAGAAAGAAACAGTAGGATAAACAAATGAACTTACTCCTTATACAGTACTTCTAAAGATTGTTTTTCTGAACGGATATCTTCGATCTTTTCTTCCATCTGTCTCATTCTAGTTTCAAAATCAGTCTTCATATCTCGTATAGACTGTAATAAGTAAACACAATTATTATTATTATTATTATAGTAGCAATAAATTAGAATATGCACCAGGGCATAGTGAGATAATTATCAGTATTGAGCAAGAACGAGAAATGGGGGTTTAACATCCACTCGACCCCAACTAGGTCAATTCAGGACCAACACATGGTTCAATTTTCTTTCAATAATTCGCTAGCGCATAGGGGTCTTTAGCAGTGGTAGGAAAGCGGAGGACCCGGAGAAAACCAACAAGGTTAGACAGGCGACCCTACTCATTTACAACCAGGGAATCGAAACCATGGCAGTTGATTCAATGACAGACCTTACAGTATTGAACAGGAGACAGTGTTATTGTGAAGCCATGGAGGTATACATGGATGTAACTAACTATAACATTCGTAAAATCCTTGTGTATATCAAAATGAAATGGTGTTTAACGTCCTACTGTTCAGCTCTGACTGGGCTAATGAAGATGGGCATACGCCATACAGTGTACTATGAGGTAAATTTTGCATTATGGCCTACTCTTATAGCAAATTCCAACTGCCAGGGGATCTTTTACGTGCATGCCAATGCATACATGAGTCCTTGGTTTTGTGTACCATCCAAACGACTAGACAGCTGTCCTTGTCAGGTCCTCCGTCCTGCACCACTGACAAGAGGAAAAAACGCCGGAAAATCCAGATGAACTTTCTCGGCAAATGCAGGGATCGAACACGAGACCTCCCATATATCAAAATACTGTATTACTATCAAACACAAATATTTGTTTTATACATTTTCATTTAAAACAGGTAACAGTAATTGAGTAATTAATACTATTCTCTTCATTTAAACCAACCTAAAGTCTTCTTAATATATTCTTTGATTGGCATTTAGTAATTGAACATATTAACACAAGATACAATTTTATGGATACACAATAACTGAGTTTGATATTAAGCGACGTTTCGACGATAAAGACGAGAGTATCCTCGTCGAAACATCGCTTAATATCAAACTCAGTAATTGTGTATCCATGAAATTGTATC